TCTTAGGCCTTTCTGGGAAAGGGATGGGGAGATGAAAAGAGGAGGAACACAACTCCATTGTCCATCAGGTATACGTGGGGAGACCTGGAGGACAGGTCGGGGTGGCAGTTGGCTCCTCCCCAGAGCTCCACTGGGGTTGGGCTGTGTGGACATGGGAGGCAGGAGCACAGGAGGCCACCTCCAGCCTCCCTCATGGCCTTTAGCTCAACTCTCCTTCCAGTTTGTTATAAGCAAGAGATCCTGGGCGGCATATTAATAAAACAATGGAATTTTTGTTTTTCTCATGAATTACATAATTAAATCCTTAAAATGCTTTTAATGAACAGTGACTGGGCATGTGACACTTATTAAAACTGGGCTCAGTTCAGTTTCTGCTTGACAGCCTACCAGCCGAGAATGTGCCTTACGAGTAAATGATTAAGAGGCGGAGATCTTTCCTGGGCTCTACTATTAAACACTTCAAAGGTTTCCAAAGTCAGATAAAATGAAAAGCAAATGTGTTTCACTGCCTCTCAAATGCTTCAAATGTTATAGCAGGCGCAAGCAATGAAACCTCCCATGGTGACAGCATTTTAGGGTCTGCAAAGTGCACCCGACTGAATTCTGGGAATTCTGGGCTGGCTGCATAAAAATTCATGATTTCCACTGAGGGGAAATGATCATCTTCAGAGTCCATCTACATATGTGACACAGAAGGAAAATATCACAGGGTCCTTTAGGTCATGGGTCAGCTTAACCCTTTCTTTTCTGGAAGAGACCCCAGCATGGAACACTGCAAGACCCCAGCCAACATGGTCAGCCTTGTGCTGGCAAAAAGGGGGCAAATCTCTGAGTCAGCTAGATTTTTCTGGAAGCACATTAATGGTCAGATCAAACCCAGGTCCTCTTTTTGGGGGCATGGCACATTTTGTTTGTGTGTGTGCAGGCTTGGCACATATAGATGGCATGGTTTTATGTAAATTATTTAACCTCTCTGTGCCCTGGTTTTCTCATCTGTAAGCTGGGGATAATTGTAGCACCTACCTCACACTTTTGGGGAGGATTAAATGAGTTAATATCATAGAAGCACTTAGATCCCACAGCAGAATTCAATCCGTCTTCTCAATTCCTATTATTGTTCCATTAGGAAAAATGAATGTGAAAAGTTAGTATTGTGAAGCTTGGCCATTTGAGATTTTCATTTAAAATTTGCTATAACTTAGCTTTATAAGTCATAGTAATCTCTCACGTAGACATATAATATTTTATACTTTACAAAGGACATTCTGAGACGTTACCTCATTCCAACCTTTCAACAGCAAAGCATCAGCCATGGACAAAGGATGAGTTTCCAACTCTGCTGTGGCTCTCTTGCATAGTGACAGATCCATCCCTTGGACCCCTGTGTTGCAAGGGCACCCATCTGTGAAATGGGCACAGACAGGCTGTCTCTGAAGCACAGCCCAAGCCACACTTAGGAACTAGCTCTACCAACATCTGCTGAGTTACCAGGGCTCACTGGCTCCATTCTCCCACATTTTTTTAATTCATTGAGGCACTCAAATGCTCTTTGTGTATTATCTCAGTGATCTTGCAAGCACTTGTTTATGGGACTGTGATTTTTATTCTTCCCCTTTGCTAATTTGCTAATGAGGAGGGCAATGAAACGGCATTCCATGAGTCAATGAAGGAGAACCCCTTAGTTTTTTACTTCAGGGAATGGCTGAGTAGTGATTGTTATAAAAGAACCTTGTCTTAATTTCAAGGTAACACAAGATTACTCACCCCCCCCCCCCCACACCACCTCTACACATCTCTGAAAGCGTCTGCAGGTTCTGGAGCACTTCAAATTGGGACATGTCTCATAAGTTCTTCACCACTTGGTGGCATCTTCAGGGGACATTGTGGTGAGCATCTTACCTGCTACCTGCCCATCCCCACACACAGGCAGAGACAGCCTGAAGCAGAGATATCCTTCTACAAAATCACAGTTAGCATTTTGACTCAGACACCCCTTCCTCCCCACACAATCGAAAAACACTTTGGACCCAGCCTGGCCTCTGACCACTCTCTGCTCTTAGCATACACCACCCATTTCTACTTTTCTAATCATCACAATTAAGGATACAATTTTAAGGTGTGAGAGAAGAGGTAATTACCAGGATGTTCATCACAGCATTATATATGAGAGTGAAAAATACAAAATACCTTAAATGTGCAGCATTAATAAAATGTGGGACATGCATACATCAAAGAAATCAAGTATTTTAAATAAAATTGAAAGTAACATGAAGAAACTCATATAACATGTTAGGTTAAAACAGCTACATTGTAATATTTTATATATATATATATATATATATATATATATATATATATAGTCTGATCCCTTTTTTACTAGAAGTACATATTTTATATGTAAATACTAAGAGATATGTAAGCCTATTTAAAAAGGCCTAAGAGGCTGTATATGTTTGTTAATAATGTTACTGCTTAGAAATACGATTTCAGATTTAATATTTTTTCAATTTTCTTTTTTTTTTTGCCTGCCTGTATTTTCTGATTTCTCTATTTAAAAAGCATGATTTTTTTGTTATGTTAAAAATACATTTTTTTTAATTCCCTTAGAGTTTCATAGTTGAGAGTGGCTTCAGAAGGTATCTAGTAATGGTTTTAGTCCAGGCAGGTAAACTGAAGCCCAGAGACATAAGATGCCTGCACAAGGTCTTCCAGCTATTTGCTGGCAGAACCATGATCAGAGCCCAAGCCCCCTCACTTATCCCTGTTCTTTCCATGATGTCCTGTGACATCTCTGAAATTTGCAAAAATGTACCAGAGACCTTTTCCATGGAATTGACTGCATGGAATCACTTTTCCTCTCAGTGAAACTAAGCATTTCTCAATTGGATCTAAAGCAAATATACCTCATCCTACATCCGTCTCTCCCTCTCTTCAGGTTCTAGCCAAGCATGGTTAAAAACCAATGGCATCAATCGCTGTGTATGGGCTAGGACAGGGGAAGAAGAGTTATTATGCCAGATTTCTGCACATAAGACTCGGCCAAGCTTTCATTCCTGTTATGGTCTGAATGTTTATATCCCTTTAAAATTCATATGTTGAAATCTGACTGCCTTTTTTTTGATGTGAGGCTTTGCTCTTCTTACCCAGGCTGGAGTGCAATGGTACAATATCTGCTCACTGCAACCTCCGCCTTTCAGGTTCAACCAATTCTCCTGCTTCAGCCTCCTGAGTAGCTGAGATTACAGGGGCCCATCACCATGCCTGAGCTATTTTTTTTTTAATTTTTAGTAGAGATGGGGTTTCACCATGATGTCCAGGCTAGTCTAGAACTCCTGACCTCAGGTGATCTGTTTGCTAGACTAGTCTAGAACTCTTGACTTCAGGGGATCTGCCTGCCTTGGCCTCCCAAGTGCTGGAATTACAGGCATGAGCCACCATACCCACCCTCTATGTTGAAATCCTAAGCCCCAAGGGATGGTATTTAGAGGGGAGGACTTTCAGAGGTGATTAGATTAATAAGAGCACAATCCTCAAGAATGGGATTAGAGCCCTTACATTAGAAACCCCAGAGAACTCTCTTGCTTTTTCTTCCATGTGAGGATAGGGTAAGAAGGCACCATCAAGGAACCAGAAGGTAGGTTCTCTTCAGGCACTGAATCTGCCAGCACCTTGAACTTGGACTTCCCAGCTTCCAGAATCATGAGAAAGAAATATTTGCTATATAAGCTAAATATCAGGCCAAGACCGTTGTATATGCAGGACCAGTATTTGAACACTGGCCTGACCTCAACCTGCCCTACCCCTAGGCTCAGACTGGTCCACCTATATGGGTAATGAACAACATTGCCAAATGAATGGGTTGAGATTCATAACAGGCTTTTATAAACAAAGATTTTTTTTTCTAATTCGCCTTAAGCATTCATGTTTTTTTCTTCTCACCCATCATGACTCAGTCATTTGTTGACGCTAAAATGAAAGGTGGCTGTTCCTCTCAATTGCAGTATTTTTTTCCATCAAGGAAAAGAGAAAACCTATGCAAGCAGCCACTTTAAGTGAAGCAAAATATCCTAGTGAGGCCACAGCAGTACCTATAGGTAGAAGATGGAGGGCCTTGTTGGTCCTTCCACCAAGGACTCTAAGAGAGGAGGTTCACACTGGTACAATGTCCAGCTCTTGCCTGGACATAATGTCTCACATCCTCCCAAACCTTCATCTCCTAAAGGTTTCATGAGGATCCCATAGCAACCCTCTACAACCCACTTGCGAGATTGCTTTGAAGATGGGGAGACAAAAATGCGAGGAGAGGCTGGGTGAATTTCAAGTAAGGGACCCTGCCTCCTGCTGCAGAATTTATTTTTCCTATACTAGCTCCAGTGACAATTTGGGCAGAAACTGCTCTGACTCTAACTATAGGAGGCAGAAGGAACACTTAGAATCACGTAGGAATGAGGATGAAAAAATTAAACCACGGACAATGTCCCAACCTCCCAAGCCCTGAGCATAGGGCTTATATCACAAGCATCATTTATTTTTCTTCTTTTCTTCTTTAAATTTTTGAACTTTAAATTTTCCCAAGGTCTTAGAATCTTCAGTTCTGGGAACTGAGTCCATATATATAGAAGCCCAATGACCTAAAGATATGGATCTCGGAACAAACACACAGAAGGATGCTTAGTACAGCACTATTGTCAGGGCCAAAAAAGAAAATAAGATGAATGCCATTAACGGGAGAATGTTCAAATAAATTCAGATTAGTTCCCACTAACCTTTAGATGATGGCGTGTGCCCAAAACTGTCCACATCAATTCTATTTGGGGGTGGATTTATGAGAAGGGTGGGGCCTTTACCTTTCCTAATATGTAGTTCTGAAATAGAGTGGTTAGTAGTTCTGAAATGGAGTAGTTAGAAGGAACCATTAGCAGATACAAACTCCCTCCACAGAGTTTCAAGTTGTGTAAGCCTTGCTCTCATGTCACTCTCTCTGCCTGTTTCTCTCCCAGGATGCCATCATGAGCAGGAACCAGGTTTCTCAGGAGGCCTTGGGCTACTATCTGGTGGTCATGACTCCCAGAGTATGGAGACAGGAGTTTGTGCTTCCCACTTCCTCCCAATGATTGCCTGGATATGATGGACCACAGTGGGATCACAACATGAACTTGAGACTATGATGTTAACCAGATGGTTAGCAAAAAATGGCAAATCTTTCACTAGAACAGCCAAGAAAGAGAGACACAAGACTCAAAATAACATCAGAAGTGAAAATGTGAACGTTACTACAGATTTTACAGAAATCAAAACTTATGAGTAAATGCCATTGTATACTGATAAATTGGATAGCCTGACTAAAATGGAAATTTCTAAAACACACAGTGTGTTAAAACTGACGCATAAAGATATAGAAAAATTGGAACAGACCTATAACCAGTGAGGAGTAATAAAATCAAAGCCAGATGACTTCACTGGTGAATTCTACCAAACACTTATGAAAAGAGCTGGCTGGATGTGGTAGCTCATGCCTGTAATTTCTTGAGCCCAGAAGTTTGAGACCAGCCTGGGAAACTTAGGCAGACCCTGTCTGTACAAATAATAATAATTAGTTGGGCATGGTGACACATATCTGTAGTCCCAACTACTTGGGAGGCTAAGGTGGAACAATCACTTGAGCCCGGGAGGTCAAGGCTGCAATGAGCCATGGTCATGTCACTGCACTCCAGCCTGGGCAACAGAGCAAGACTGTCAGAACACACACACACACACACACACACACACACACACACACACACAAATTAATACCAATCCCTTTCAAACTCTTCCAAAAAATTGAGGAGGGAGGACTTCCTAACTCATTCATTGAAACCAGCATTACCCTGATACCAACACCAAACAAAGACACTATGAGAAAACTATAGATCAATATCCCTTATGAATATTGATGCAAAAATTCTCAAAAAATAATAGCACAATGAATTGAGTAACATAGTAGAAGGATTATACACCTGAACAAGTGGGATTTATTCCTAGAATGCAATAATGTGTCAACATACAAAAAACAATCAATAGAATATATCATATCAACAGAATGAAGGGGAGAAAACATGACTATTTCAATTGATTAATAATAGATTAGAAAAATCATTTGACAAAGTCAAACACTCTTTCATGATTAAAAAAAAATTTTTAAATACATAAGACCTAACACCATGAAAACCCTAGAAGAAAATCTAGGCAAAACCATTCAGGACATAGGAGTAGGCAAGGACTTCATGACCAAAACACCAAAAGCATTGGCAACAAAAGCCAAAATAGACAAATGGGACCTAATCAAACTCCACAGCTTCTGCATGGCAAAAGAAACAGTCACTAGAGTGAATCAGCAACCAATAGAATGGGAAAAAATTTTTGAAGTTTACCCATCTGACAAAGGGCTGATATCCAGAATTTACAAAGAACTTAAACAGATTTACAAGAAAAAAACAAACAAGCCCATTCAAAAGTGGGCACTTTACAAAAGAAGACATAAATGAGGCCAACAAGCATATGAAAAAATGCTCATCATCACTGGTCATCAGAGAAATGCAAATTAAAACTACATTGAGATACCATCTCACACCAGTTAGAATGGCGATCATTAAAAAATCTGGAGACAACAGATGCTGGAGAGGCTGTGAAGAAATAGGAACACTTTTACACTGCTGGTGGGAGTGTAAATTAGTTCAACCATTGTGGAAGACAGTGTGGCGATTTCTCAAGGACCTAGAAATAGAAATTCCATTTGACCCAGGAATCCCATTACTGGGTATATATCCAAAGGACTATAAATCATTATTCTATAAGGACACATACACACGAATGTTCATTGCAGCACTGTTTACAATACCAAAGACCTGGAACCAACCCAAACGCCCATCGATGATAGACTGGACTGGGAAAATGTGGCACATATACACCATGGAATGTTACGCAGTCATCAAAAACAATGAGTTCGTGTCCTTTGTAGGGACATGGATGAATCTGGAGAACATCATTCTCAGCAAACTGACACAGGAACAGAAAATCAGATACCGCATGTTCTCACTCATAAGCGGGTGATGAGCAATGAGAACACATGGACACAAGGAGCGGAGCACTACACACTGGGGTCTGTTGGGGGGAATAGGGGAGGGACAGCGGGGGGAGGAGTTGGGGTGGATAGCATGGGAAGAAATGCCAGATGTGGGTGAGGGGGAGGAAGGCAGCAAATCACACAGCCACGTGTGTACCTATGCGACTATCTTGCATGTTCTTCACATGTACCCCAAAACCTAAAATGCAATTTAAAAAAAAGGAAAACCTAAAAGGGACAAAAAGAAAATAAATAACTGAGACATAATTCAAGCAAAATAAAAATTGCTATGGTCACACACAAAAAAATTTAAAAATAAATAAATAAATAAAACAACCCATAAATAGAAGGAAATTTTCTTTAGTTAACGGCCATATATAAAACCCCCACAGCTACCATCATATAAACAGTGGTAAAAGACAGATAGCTTTCTCCTGAAGATCAGGAACAAGAGAAGGATGTCCACCTTTGCTACTTCTATCCAATGCAGTAGTAGAAGTTCTAGCCAAACCAATTTGGCAAAATAAAAAAAAAAAAATGGCCAGACATGGTGGCTCACGCCTGTAATCCCAACACTCTGGGAGGCTGAGCTGGGTGGATCACCTGAGGTCAGGAGTTTGAGACCAGACTGGCCAACATGGTGAAACCCTGTCTCTACTAAAAATACAGAAAATTAGCTGGGCGTGGTGGCAGGCACCTGTAATCCCAGCTACTTGGGAGGCTGAGGTAGGAGAATCACTTGAACCCGGGAAGTGGCAGTTGAAATTGCACCATTGCACTCCAGCCTGGGCAAAAAGAGCGAAACTCCATCGCCAAAAAAAAAAAAAAAAAAAAAAAATTAAAGGCACATTGGAAAGGAAGAAGTAAAATTAGCTCTGTTCACAGATGATATATGATCTTATACAGGAGAAATCCTAAATGATTCACAAAGAAACTGTTAGAGATAATAAATAAACTCAGTCAAGCTGCAGGATATAAAATCAACATGCAAAAAACTCAGTTGCATTCTATACAGCAGTAATGAACGATCCAAAAGGAAAGTTAAGAAAACAATTCTAGCCTGGGCATGGTGGCTCACGCCTGTAATCCCAGCACTTTTGGAGGCTGAGAAGGGTGGATCACTTCAGGTCAGGAGTTCAAGACCAGCCTGGCCAACATGGTGAAACCCCATCTCTACTAAAAACAAAAAAAAAAACCCAAAAATTAGCAGGGTGTGGTAGCTTATGCCCTTAATCCCAGCTATGTGGGAGGTTGAGGCAGGAGAATAGATTGAACCCAGGAGGCAGAAGTTGCAGTGGGGCGAGATCATGCCACTGCACTCCAGCCTGGGTGACAGAGAAAGACACCAACTCAAAATATATATATATATATATATATATATATATATATATATATATATATATATATATAAAATTCCAAATCTACACTTATCAAAACAATATGGTATAAGCATAAAGACAGAAATATAGAACAATGAAACAGAATAGAGAGCCCATAATTAAACTCTCATGTACATGGCCTCCAACGAGGCTGTCAAATCCATACAATCAAGAAAGAATGCTCTCTTTGATAAACATGTTGGGAAAAATTGATATGTACATGCAGAAGAATGAAGTTGCACTCATAGTTTGCACTACAAACAAAACTTAGCTCAAAATGGATTAGAGAGCTAAGCTTGAGACCTGAACCTATGAAATTTCTAGAAGAAAACAGAAAATTTCATGCCATTGGATTTTGCAATGGTTTCTTGGGTATGATACCAAAAGTACAGGCAACAAAGGCAAAAATAGACAAATGGCTCTAGACGAGACTTTGAAACTTCTGCACAGCAAAGGAGACCAACAGAGAGACAACTTACAACATGGAAGAACGAGAGAGAATATTTGTAAAACATATATCTTGATAAAGATTAATATCAAGAATATATCTAAAAACTCTTACAACTCATCATCAATAACAACAAGCACAACCAAATAACTTGACTAAAAAATGGGCAAAAGACTTGAATAGATAATTCTCAAAAGAAGACATACAAATGGCCAACAGGGACATGCTCAACATCAGCTAATCATCGGGGAAACGCACATCCAGACCAATGAGAAACCACCTCATATTCCTCAGGATGGCCACCATAAAGAAAACAGCAAGTAAAGCCAAAGATGAGGAGAAATTGGAACCCTTATGCTCGTTGGTGGGCATGTAAAATGGCATGGCTGCTATGGAAAATACTATGGAGGTTTTCACAAGATTGAAAACAGAATTACTGAGCCAGGCACAGTGGCTCACACCTGTAATCCCAGCATTTTGGGATGCTGAGGTGGGTAGATCACCTGAGGTCAGGAGTTCAAAACCAGCTTGATCAACATGGTGAAACCCCATCTCTACTAAAAAATACAAAAATTAGCTGGGCGTGGTGGCACGCACCTGTAGTCCCAGCTACTTGGGAGGCTGAGGCAGGAGAATTGCTGGAACCCGGGAGGCAGAGAAATTGAGTTGAGATCGTGCCACTGACTCCAGCATAGACGACAGAGTAAGACAGATCCAAAGAACTGAAAACAGGATATTGAAGAGGTTTTTGCACATCCATGTTCATTGCAGCATTAATTACAGTAGCCAAAGGGTGGAAGCAACCTAAGTATCAGTTAATAGGAATGGACACACACACACACACATGCACACGCACACACATGCACATGCACATGCACACGATATATAGTACATATACAAATGTGATATATATACACAAATGTGACACATACGTATGTACAAATGTTGTTCAGGCATGGTGGCTCACATCTGAAATCCCAACACTTTGGGATGCCAAGGTGGGCAGATCACCTGAGGTCAGGAGTTCAAGACCAGCCTGGCCAACAGAGTGAAACCCCCTCTCTACTAAAAATACAAAAATTCACTGGGTCTGGTGGCATGCACCTGTAATCCCAGTTACTCAGAAGGCTGAGGCAGAAGAATTACTGGAATCCGGGACGTGGAGGTTGCAGTGAGCCAAGGTTGCACCACTTCCCTCCAGCCTGGGTGACAGAGTGAGACTTCATCTTAAAAAAGAAAAAAAAAGTGATATATACACACATATTAAAATGAGATGTGTATATATGTAATATATATTATATATATATATATATGAATGAGATATATACAGTTAGTCCTTCAACAACATGGATCTGAACTTTGCGAGTCACACTCAGATTTTCTTCTGCCTCTGCCATTCCTGAGACATTAAGACCAAGCCTTCCTCTTCCTCCTCCTCCTCATCCTACTCAATGTGAAGACCAGGATGAAGACCTCTGTGATGATCCACCTCCACTTCGTGAATAGTAAATACGTTTTCTCTTATGAAGTTCTTAATAACATTTGCTTTTCTCTAGCTTACTATATTGTAAGAATATAGTATATAACACACATACGAAATATGTGCTGTTTATGTTATTGGCAAGGCTTCTGTGGTTAAGTTTGGGGGAGTCAAAAGTTATACATGGATTTTCAACCATGCAGGGGTTAGCACGCCAACCCCCAAGTTATTCAAGGTTCATTTGTGCACACACACACCAAAGGACACTATTAATAGAGTGAAAAGACACCCTGGAAAATGGAAGAACATACTTGAAAATTTTATATCTGATAAGGAATTAATATCCAGAATATATAAAGAACTCCTACAACTCAACAGCAAAAAACTAATAGCAAAGGACTTGAACAGACATTTCTCCAAAGAAGGTATATAAATGGCCAGTAAGCCACACTGGAGGAGGTCAAAGAGACATGACAGCTAAATGCAATGCATGATTCTGACCAAGACACTTTTTCCAAGCAGGGCTTTACTGGGACAACTGGTCACCCTTGAACTGCTGCAACAATTAGACAGCAGTAATGGGTCAAGGTGGTGTCTTGATTTCAACGGTTGTATTGTAAGTATCAAAGTTCCCAAAACCCTGCCTTGTGGGCACCCACCCATCCCTCAGTAGGGACCTAACCTCCCACCTAGGCCCTGGGCATTCACTCATTCCTTGGTCCTTTGACTCAGAGACCAGCCTGCTCAAAGATTAGACAATCAGACAGTCAAGTGGAGGGGTGGGGACAGTTGTTCTCATGACATTAGTGAAGGTTCTTTCTGAATGTCAGTTTAATGATATGTAGCAAAATCTTCAATGTGCATGACACCTTGGGGCCAACGGTCCCACTATGAAGAATTCATCCTAAGAAGGCCTTCAGGGATGGAAGAACACAGCTGCCTGTAGGCAGAACAGGACTCAATCAACAAGCCTCCCTGAGGAATGAGATTCTCCCCCGCCTGCAGTGTCTCTCCCCTGGAGGCCCGGTCCACCCTCTCTGTCTACAGGCTTTCAAAAGCAGAGTCACCCCAGAGGGGAGGAGGCAGATAGGGATATGGGCCACATAAGAGAGAAACGTCCAGCACATGCCCTTGCACATGAACCCAAGATGGAATTCTCCTTGTATTTCTTCGTCTTCTCTGGAAAGAGCCAGCATGGGTACCTAGAGAAGAGGGAAAGCCCCACGAGAAAGGGAGGGAGCAGAGGCAAGAGCAAGTTAGAATCAGAGAATGTGCAGAGAGAGGGATGGGCCAGCCAGGTTGGAGGGTGTGGAGGTACAGGGGGCTCCAGACCAGGCCACGTCCCTATGTGCTATGTCTGGATGCAAGTCCATAATCTCTCTGGTTTGCCCACCTGTGAGATGTGAGGCTGGGCATTTGGGCTGGCATTCTAGGATTTTCTATTCCATGGCACTGCCTAGGACAGAGTAAGACCCGGGAGGCTGGAAATGTGGCATTAGTGTCTATTTTCCCAATGTCACAATGGCTCCTCTTGAGTTTATGATGTATATAGTATAAAGAAATTATCATCTTTCAACATCCTTTCTTTAGTTGTATCCTTAATATGCTGGCAGGCAGTCTCCAGTTTAAAAGCCAGGCCTTTATGCTTGCCTCTCTACCTTTGGGGGCTGTTGTGAAAAACTCAGTTCTCAAATGACATTTGAGAGGTCCAGAGCCTGGGATGCCTTAGGCCCAGAAATGGAAAAAAACATTGCAAAATGAAAATAGGTTAAACCAAAAGCTGGTCTGCCATTTGGTGGTTCTGTACCCTAGAACTCTGTCTCACTATACTAAATTACATTCACTCATGTGTCATCAAGTAATTCCATAGTTTTATGGGAATTAATGCATTGGGTTTCAAAACTGGAAATAAACTTTGATATGATTTCTTTAACCAAAAATATCCTTGGAGATTATCTAGATGCCCCCTCATTTTGCCACTGAGGAAACCAGAGTGTAGGGAAGCTATTTAAAACAGATGATTGGCATAGGGAACATGGTTCTCCTGGCATCTGGCTGCTGTGCTTGTCATGCCCATTCTTCCTAACATATGCCAGGGAGAAAGGTAGGGGGAGCAAAGAGAGGAGCTTGAATTCCTTGGTATCAAGGGGAGGTGAAGGAACTAGAGACAGACTTGGTCTCTTTGACACTTCACTTGGAGTCAACCTATAAAGGGGTAACGAAACATGTCCCCTATGAAAGGATGAGGTAGGGCAGAGATACCTCAAATTCAGTCATCTATCTCCCCTACTCCACTTCCAAATGCACAAACACCAATACAAGTGTTCAGTCATGAGTGTTGAACTTCTTCTATTTCCCCATTGCACTGCTTCCACACCTAGACCCAGAACTCGGTAGCCAGCATGTCAGTTCAACACATGGTGGATTCGACTAGGTTTAAAACAGTCATGGAGATATTAACTTCCATGGGAAAACAAATGTCAAAGAAATTTCTTAATATATCTTTTGGGAAAACAGCCAGTTTGTGGGTTTGGGATTCCCTGGAGCCCAAAGGAAATGTTTTCGAATGGTGTTTTCTTATGGAGTAACCCACAGAGCATCTTTGTGGTGTTTATTTTTGCTTGGATTATAAGAATGGAATAAATTACAGTGATAGAGGAAATGTACCTTCAGGTATTGCAGTTTTAATGCTATGCAATGTATGAAAACGACCAAGGGGATTTTCCTTCAATAGGCATTTCTTTAGCATCTACTATGAGCCAGAGCTGCACTGGGCCTAAAACTTCAAGTAACTCAGCATAAATGGGGGTGGGACAAAGGGATCCTCAACCAATCAATCACGTGAGAAGCTTCTCAAGAGGAAAGGATGCTGAAATCTGAGTTTTAAAAGATGAATGGTAGAAGTTAGACAGGGAAATTAGAGGAAAGGGCATTCAAGGAGAAAGGGACTGTATGTGCAAAGGCATGTCGGCACAGGAAAGTATGATGCTTTTAGGGAACTACAAAAAGTAATTGGTATGATTGGAGCTGAGGCTCCATGGAGGAAGGAGGTGCTAGTTATTGAGTGCTGAACCAGGGAGTTTGACCTTTATCCTGGCAACCATGGCAAGTCACTGAAGGAATTAAGTAGGAAAATGGCATGACTAGATTTTCAATTTAGAAAGATTGCCCTGGCTGAAATGTGGGTGGTGAAATTTGAGGATCCTGGGGTAAAAACATGAAGACTAGTTAAGAAAGCATTGTAATATTCCAGGCAAGAGATAAGGGTGGCACAAACTACAGTAATAGCTGTGACAATAGGGAGAAATGGATGATAGCAAAAATATGGACAAGGCAGAATCTGCATATCTTGGACACAGCAGAATTCATCATTTTAAGAAATTGTATCCATTATTCTGAATATGAGTAAAAGACATGGAAATGGTATTTTAAAGGTCATCATGATGGAAAATTTGAAGATAGTTATTTGTTATGTATTCGAAAAAATGATTTAAATCCAGGAGATATCTGACAATAGCAAAAGTTTCAACAGAGGCCCGGGCAAAGGAGCTCCTGTCTGGATACACCATAAGTTCTTGGAGTTTGTGGAACTTTAACAGAGGACACAGAGTATGGATGTAAAGTATACTTATTGGTAATGTAGCTTGATACTATGTTTACCATAAGCACTAACTCTGATTGATAATTACCAAATGTACTCACATGAGGGGATTATGTTATACAAATATATAAAATAGTAATTATAAACAACTTTGAGAAATGAAAAATCTTTTATTTTTTACAAAAATTTTCACAAATGCATTTTGTATTTGATATGCATGCTATTATAACAAAGCAACTGAAAATATAATTACAGTTAAGATACTTTTATGCATATTTAAAAAGTAATATTTTAATCCCCTCAATTTTTAAAAATTGAAAGTAGAATAAGCAATTCTTCAAAAAATATCTATTTTCCCTCATGCAACTGTTGCAATGATTTAACAAGGAAAATTAGAATAATCACTCAAATGAATGTTTAAAAGCCACTGTCACCACATGAAACCCTTTCCATTTGGGACCAAGTTTAGAAATGCTCATTTAAAATATTTATCTACTGCCTCTGTGTTACACCATTAATGTGTTCTAACTGAAGAGTTTCTCATTTGGGGTATTGACCTTGCTTGAATGCTAAACCACTTCCTACTGCAACTAATTGCGGATTCACAGAAAGGATTTTCTAGCATACTTGAGAGAAAATGCACACTACTAGGGTCCTTTTTTCTTTTTATGTAAATGCTTCCTTAAAATTATAACTCGCAAAGAAATGCAGCCAATTTATAGTTTACCAATTTTATATGTGATTATTCATTTTTTTTCCTGAAATATAAAGCATGTTTGTAAGCAGTCTGTTTTCATGCAAAAATATATTTTCCCATTCCTTACATTCATTTTAACCTATTTCATATTTTAAGTAACTATATCACATTTGTGCTTCATACATGTGGAAAATAAAGGATACTTCATTTTCTTTACTGCAGAAAAAGAAAAGGTTACTGGTTTTTCAATAGGTAATAAAATTAACTTAAATGCTGATTTGAAGTTGCTAAAACATTACCTGATTGTAAAAAATTCCAATGGAAAGTTCTATTTTATTCATACTTGTAGTTTTAACTAAATTTAGAATGAAATCATGACTTGAGTAAATGTGGATTTCTGACTTTTTGACTTCCTAATACATGGGGCTAGGCCTACCTACTACACCTGCCCAGTCTCCTCTCCCATTTGCAAGGGAAGTCTACTATTATATAAAGACACCTTCCACAGCAAAAACAGATTCAGTATATATTTTACAATATACACAAAGGACCTGTTTGCAAAATATGAGAATTACTGACACATTTTAACAACAGATAAAAAGGCCAAACATTCAAGAACATATTTACCCTTAAGGAATTGATTCTCTGTTATACTTCTGGCTTAAATAGGATCCAATGCCGAATATGAATGTGACCATCATAAGTACATGACCTTTTTCTATCTTTGTTCATGAGAAATACAAAATTTTTATACTCTAGAATAAAGTTGGGAAATCTGAAGCAAGAAGGATTTTTCCATTGATACATAGGGTTTCACTTCTCATTTATTACAAAATTAAGTGACATTAAACAGAGAAAGAAATAAATGTACATGCAATATATTTAGGGTCCACTATTTACTTTTCTCAGCATATCTGAACTAACCCATTTATTGGCCCAAGTGTAATGATTTCCACATAGACCTGGAACTCTAGAAATACAAGGTATTTTAAGAGGCAAAAAAAAGAAATCTTAAGTTGTCCATAATCAATCATATCTATTATAAAGTATAAATAAAACAAAATAAGTTTTAAATTACTTGTTTATGTCACATTGTTCAAAACTCTTTTGGGACTAAAGCCAACTATGAAAATTTAGTTGAGTAGGAGGACAATGGTAACAGCTTCTTTCTTTGTTATTGAAATGTAAGGAACTTTTCCTTAAAATAGTATGAATATCCAGTTCAGGTAACAATGTTCCCTTTTAATTAGTCAAATATATATTAAATATAAAAATCTAATGCTATACAGATGTTACCTTGGACATTTTAAGTATTAGTTTATTCAGAAATGCCTTTAAAAATCAGTGTGCATAGAACTAACTCATTTATTAAATGTCAAATTTATAAGTGCAACAGTGGGTCTTCAGAGAGAATATGCCCAAGGAATATTTTAAAAGACTGGATAAACACATCAAATGAAACTGTGATTCACTTTTGATAAGACTGAAATATAAGTATATAATCACTGATGCATATTTATCCAATAGGCCCATGTGATTATATGGTTTTTAACTAACAGGATTTATTTCCAAACTGCTTGGCATTCCTCCAAGGGAAAGGAGCTGCTAGACTAAGAACACTGAGCTCATATATTTTAAATTAACAAATGAATTGTATATGGATTGTTCATATGCTTTCAGAGTCCTGTCTCTATAGAAGAAAAACACCTTCCTAGAGACCATGCCCTTTTCAGATGTACAATCTATAGCTTAGAACTTAATTGCTATCCATCATATCTGGACTTTAATTATATAAAATTGTTGACACCCCTATACAGGGTGTGTCTAAATATATAATGCAGGAAAAAAGGTTTTAGTGGTTAAACTTGGGCATGTTTAAAGATTTTAGGCATGGAATTATGCCATTAGGAGATATTTGTCTATGGACTTAAAAAGTTTTCTTGGGGCACTTTAAAGAGGTTTATCAAAGTTATACTGTTGAAAAACGATTTTCCCTGGAGATAATATCCCCTCCTTCCCACCTTCTGCCTTGATATTCTTACTGGAAAAAAGTTAAGTTGTTCAGAATTACAGTCATATAGGGTTTTCAGGCATAGCATGGGCACGTTGGGAATGGAAGACTAGAAGACCCCAGCAAGGACTATAGGTACATTAATTGCTGCCCACCCTGAGAAATAACTCTGAGTTTCTTCTCCCAAGTCTTCCTCAAGGATCCATTTACTGTAGAGTCAACAGATGACTTTTAGAATTCATTATGATAAGCGCATATGCATACCATTCTTGAATAGTTTTATAGTATATTTTTTCTAGGTAGTTCCTGAATAATGAGTTTAATAAATGAGAAAAATATGTTGAAAAGTCTTTGTAAGTTAAATATTTCACATATTTTTAAAATATCTGAATTTGGCTGAGTGCAGTAGCTCATGCCTGTAATCCTAGCACTTAGGGAGGCCAAGGCAGGATTATCCCTTGAGCTCGGGAGTTTGAGACCAGCCTGAGCAACATAGTGAAACCTCATCTCTAAAAAGAAAAAAATTTCAATTAGCCAGATGTGGTGGTGTGTGCTTCTAGTCTTAGCTACTGGGAGGCAGAGACAGGAGGAGCACTTGAGCTCAGGCAATGGAGACTGCAATGAGCCATGATTGAACCACTGCACTCCAGCCTAGGTGACAGAGCGGAACGTGTCTCAAAAAAAAAGAACAAAAAGAATTTCTGAATTTGTATTTTTCATGAATAAAAGTAAAAATCAGAGCGAAAACTTCTTCACATATGACAATATGGATTGTCCTGTTTAAAGAATCTGAAGTTACACAGACTATGAGTTATTATGTTTTGTTTTAGCATGATTCTGTACACCTAGCTTTAATTTTTGAAGTCTCATTTAATTGTGATTTTGACAGTCAGTTATTGAATGAGGTAGTCCACATTGCCTAGATATTTGCTGCATCTGGTTACTATTTCATAAATAATTAAGTACAATATATCAGTTATGTTTTTCCTTTATGTTTAATAGGAGTTCTGTGAACATTGAGAATCTATTACTTTTAGTGGTACACAGTTCTTGAGAAAATGTCTTGATTTTTACATTGCCATTTTTGATATTTTTAGCAGCCTGCTACAATATCATTTTAATAATAAAAATAAAGTGTACTCAGTGATGATAGAGAAAATATTGTTAAAGACCTCTTGGGACAAGAAAAGGCTCAGTCGTAAAATCAGATGCTTATTCATTTTCACCTGTGTCATTTTGACTCATTACTTTCAAGAATAACTATAATATTGCTACACAGTCCATTATACGGAGAAGAATTTTCCTTGAACGTCACATGGAGATTGAGTAAAGCTCTTCTATTTGTTTTTTGAAGTACTCTCTCAGCTCAGGTCTTTTAGCCTTTAGTGTTGGTGTCAGCAAGCCATTTTGAACAGAGAACATGTCAGAATGGATGTGAATGGCTTTAACCTAAAAACCAAATGCAAAATAGCTCATTTATTAAATGTCAAACATTTAACAAGCATAGAACACAGTATTTATTGTATACATGGTAAAAAGCAAAGAAGCACAAGAGAGTAGATATAATGCCATAGAGACATTATGCTAGGTCAAAATTTTATTGAGAACATTTCAGCCCATTTTATGTATCTAAAAGCCACCTTTTTTTTTCCTTCCTATTCATTCATTTAGCCAGTCAACAGAAAGAAATTACTTGCTTACTCTATGCCAGGCACGGAGGATACAAAGAGGAATCCTGAATGCCTCTTTCCTTCAGGAGTGCACATTCACATCCAGCAGTAAAGACAGAGAAGCATTGGGCAATTATCAGTATGGTATGCACAGGACAAAGGGCATCCATCTCAGGCATCGGAGGGGAGAGGGAGAGGCAGTCAGAGAAGACTTCCAAAATCAGGTGAATGTTAAATAATGGGTTACAGTTAACCATCAAAGGGGGAGAAGTGGGTGGAGAAGGGCATTGCAGGCAGAGGCAACCCCAAAAATAAAGCTATGGAAGTGAGAAATGGCAGAGTGTGAAAAGGGAACTCTAAGTGATTTCTTCTTACATAAAACAGGAGGCAATGAGTGTGAGGGATGAAGCTGAAGTGGTAAACAAGCCAGTTTATGGAGGAGCTCAAACTTTACTCCAAAGACAATAGTATGATACTTAAGGCTTTTAGTTAGGGTAATGGCATGGCTGAATACACATTTTTGAAAGATTTCTCCAAGAGAAATGGGAAGATTGTTTTTGAAATATTTAAGATTGGGAGCAGGTCAAATAATATGGTCAGGCTTTTTGTCTCCACCCAAATCTCATCTTCAACTATAATCCCAGGTGTTTGGGGAGAGACCTGGTGGGAAGTGATTGGATTATGGGGACAGTTTCCCCAATGGTGTTCTTGTGATAGTGAGTGAATTCTCATAAGATCTGATGGTTTTATAAGGGGCTCCTCCCCCTTGGCTCACCCCTCTCTCTCCTGCAGCTTTGTGAAGAAGGTGCCTGCCTCCCCTTTGGCCATGATCGTAAGTTTCCTGAGGCCTCAGCCACATGGATCTGGAGTCAACTAAATTTCTTTCCTTTATGATTTACTCAGTCTTGTGAAGTTCTTTATAGCAGTGTGAGAATGGACTAATACAGCAATTAATCAGAAGAATCTGGCAAATTCATTGGAATGAAGATAAGGACCTACACTCAGGGCAGTGGCACAAAGACAAGTAAGCAGCTCTAATAATGATTCAGAGATAAATGGGCAAAATGTAGAAGAGAGGCAGGCAGCCCCAAGGACTCCCGGGTTTGTGGTTTGGATGGCTGCATAAAGGTGGTACCATTCATAGAGGAATACAAAGTCTCAGAAGGATATGATGAGTTCAAGTAAAATAAAAATGAGTTCAAGTTTGAAAAACCTTTATCTCACTTATTGAAAGGATTTCTACTTGGCTATGCAATTTAAATAGCTGGAAATCTTGGCTAAAGATGGGTATCATCAACAATCAAGTGTTTCAAAATTAGATATGGTTCTTGTAAAAAGGGTTTTGTTTGAAAACTCTCTAAGTCTGCTTGATATTCAAAGAAGCATAGGATTCAGGAAGGAATAGGGCTGCTGTTCTTTGTACCCTATCGAATATACTTTTTTCCTAATTTGTTGTTACAAATATAAACCGTCCCTGGAGATCCAATATTTATTGGAAACAGGTCCCAAGCAAGATGTTTTTAAACCATAGTGCACTGAGAACTAGGAGATCTGCAGAGGCCACTGCTGAGGATGGTATGGAAATGGGGTTTAGATAGGTAAAGGTAGAAAGGAGACGGAGAAGGGTGGGACGATGAGGAGGTATGAGGTGAGGTGCTTAAGAGAAAGTGTGTGTGTGGAGTAGCTCTGGCTCAAGCCTTAAGCCAACCTGAGTAGCACTGCTTTTATGTTTCGTGCATGCTCAATTTTTATATAAGATGTTATTTAAGTTCTACTGAAGTTTGGAGATCACTATCTGATGACAAAATTAATTAGCTTAAAGAAAACATTAATACAATCAAAATCAAATTTAACCTTACATGCAAAGATTTAATGCAGTAGTAACTAACCTTTACTGTCAAAATAAAACAACTGAAAAATGGACAGTGCTAATATCCTTAACTTTTCAAAAAAATTTCTCTTTTCACAGAAGCACTATCATATAAATACTTCTGGTAAGTGTAAACCATCTATCCACCTTCTTTTGTTGTTAAAATTAATACTATGCTTTTTTAAAAGGAGATACAAATGCCAAGATATAATTTCTACAGTGCTCTTGCAGCCTGGGTTTCAGCTTGTCTGCATTCCTAACAGGAATTACATATGTAGGAGAACATTGTGTAATTGGGACAAGAGTCTATGTTCAGTATAGAAACTTGGGGTGAATATCTTTGAAAAGACAGCAGTGACAAGCAGAAGCTACTAAAAAAATACAGTACTGGAAATATACATTTCATAAGGAGAGATATAGAATGTGATTTATATGGTTAAGTAGAAATGTAAAATAACACATTATTATCTTAGGAAGAAAGAACTGCATTAACCAGTAGATTTGGAATATCTGTCGGGCCAGCTACCTGCTCAAACCTAAATAGCTGAGTGGGACATCTTTAGCTCCATGCGGCTGTCTACAAATAATTTTGTCTGAGAAGAGGCTGTATCGTCAAAGACAGCCTTGCAGAAGGCCAAGCAATATGGCAGCCTGCTCTGGGCTCACCTTTCAGTCCCTTAGTGAGCAGGTCAGAGCAGCACTGCTGCCAGGCTGCCAGTCCCTGCTCTGGCCTGACCTACGTCCCTTGGACTATTTAAATCCTACTGTGAAAATACCTATGTAACCTGCCCGAGTGACTAAAAAGTACAGTCAGTAAGTGGAAAAAAATGAATCAATCAGTTGTTTAACTGACACTGACTTTAACTGTGAGCCACAAATCTATAGTTTTTTTCAGAAGTAAATCAATGATAAAGCACATGTTCATTTTTTATACTAATTATTTTCTCATAAAGCCAAACTGTCCAATTGTGAACTTGTAAAAAAGGTATGAGAGTCCTTATTCTCTCCTTATGCCAAATATTTTATCAAACTAGAATTTCCATTTTTTAATTAGCAAAGTTTTTGTTAGGAAAAGAAAGAAGATGCCTAATGTTAGCTTCCCTTTCTGAAACTATATCCTTTTCACTGAAAGAGATTCTACAGGTTTTTAAAAAATAATTTAGAAATACTGTAATATTTAAATATGGCATTGGAATAAAATATTTCAAAATTGTCCACTCATGCCAACTCATAAAAGCACAAACTTTTCATAATTTTAGAGAAACATAGTATTTTAAGTTTTTCAATTGTCTTAATGAAATCCTTTAACACAATATTGCTTGTAGGTAATAAACACAGAGTGAATAATTTAGTACAGGAGAGATAAAGTAAAAAAATGTTTAAATGAGTTAGGGAATGCTCAATTCATTTCTGATTTAAAGACAAATTAGTTAGGTAATCATTACAATGACAGGAAATACAATAATTTGTTTTTTGAGATGGAGTCTCACTCTGTTGCCCAGTCTGGAGTGCAGTGGCTTGATCTTGGCTCACTGCAACCTTCGTCCACTCCCTCACCCAGGTTCAATGATTCTCTTGCCTCAGCCTCCCAAGTAGCTGTGCTTATAGGCACTACTCGGCTACTTTTTGTATTTTTAGTAAAGATGGGGTTTCACCATATTGGTCAGGCTCGTCTTGAACTCCTGACCTTGTGATCCATCTGCCTCGGCCTCCCAAAGTGCTGGGATTACAGGCATGAACCACCACACCCTGCCAATAAAACATTTTGAGTAAGGGCTTAGTTAGTTAGAAATTGAAAAATCTATCAAGTGTCAAAGTTCATATTGTATTGCCTATGCAAATTAATAAGGGATATAAATGTCAAGCAAATCATTAAATCATAGTTAAGAATGCTCGAATACTTCCCAGCTACCTACTTACTCATTAAAATACATCTTTTGAAGATCTCCATAAATTAATAATGGTTGGCCTAGTTCTAGGAATTGCCTGTTCTTGGAAATTAAATTATATCAATTGTTTTTCTAAATCAAAGTTTAATTCAGATCAACCAAGTCCAGTAAGTCTGAACTAAAACTTTTGTTGAATGACTTAAACTTTGGATACTGAACTTGAATATCTATTTGTGTGTGTGTGTATGTGTGTGTGTTTAATTAGAGTTATGCCTACTTAATTGGCCATTCATTTTTGAGGAAGAGGGAAAAAGATAAGGTGACAATGCATTATGCATTAACAGAAATAATTTATGTTGAGCTGTGGATCACAACTGAGAGCACACCGTTCTCAGGCATGAGGTTTGGTTTTTGCTTTCCTGTGTCAGCTGAGGGCACACACTGGCTGTGGTGGGGAGGATGCCACAGACCAACAAAGAAGAGAATGGGAACAGAGAAAATCAAAAGGCAACAGCCTTGGCAATAAAACTAAAGGCCTCTGAGATGCCACATGACTTCCCTGTATTTGAGGTTACCATGGTGAGGGCAGATTATTAGAGCAGAAACTCTGCTAAAGGCATGTAGAAAGTCAAGAACACATCTCCTCTCAGTGAAAGCTCTAACCGGAGCAATGGTTAACACTGGAAACTTAACCAAAGGTCCCTTTTAAGCATAATCTTAAGAGTTGGTATATTTTTTCCCTGAAGAGGAATCTGGGTGTCATGATGCTGTGTGTGCCCTGGGGCAGGTCCCACATCCAAACACCAGCAGGGGGCGTGCAGGCCTTGTGAATGCACCAGGATGTCCACAGGAACTGAGCAGCTTAGGCAAGCCTGTCCCCAGTAGGCAGTAGCCAGCCAGCGCTTCAAATCATCACATAGGCCCAGACCAACCAGGTTACGACCATTCATTTGTGGCCCCTGGTCTACACGATCACAGAGGATCCCATCGCTCAACTCCCCACTGAGGAAGGGCAATGAAGTCAGTTCTAGCATATTTGGAAATTTAAATAATTAATATGCCAAAATTGACCTTTTTCATTTAGAACAATAAATGTAACTTGCCTGAATGCCTCAGATTTTATGCTTTTAAAAAATATATATTTACCTAGCTAGGCCTAAATTGCTCTAAAATATACTGACAGATGAGGGTAAAGCAGTGTTTCTCAAAATGGATTAATGTAAAGATCTATTTAAAAAGATAAACAATATTTTTAGACCCTGAAACTCTGCTTAGATTTCCTTAGTTTGAAACCAAAAAATTAAAACTGTAATCAATGAAAATGTTTTTATTGCAAATTGAAGCACTATAAGAGTTTTACATTTTAAAGTGGTATTCAATGTTTTTAGGGAATCAAGTGAACATACAAAATTTTAAGTTTCTCATCAAACTTGCAGAACCTTGCCACTAAATTTGGGGAAACAAACTTGTATGAAAAAAATTATTTAATGAAATGCTTATTTTATGAAAAACAATTATTTTAAGGACATTTTAAAATCAGTATATTATTAATATTTTTCCATTTGAACCATTTTTCTCTTTGAATTTTTGACAAAAGAGGATATATAGATGGTAGATGTAAGTCAGACTAAGTATGCTTATGAACTCAGTTACGGTAAGAACCCAACCTCACAGAAGGAAGAAGTCTTAGAGGACTGCTGTGTCCTCTCCCAAAGCATTCTGTTTCCTCCTCTTTATAGAGGTCATGCTGGGCTGACAGATCACTGGCCCAAAGAGAGTAATCTTTCCAATGTCTTCCTAACAAGCAAGCTTGCCTGCTAAAGCCAAGAAGACAGTCTCCATAAAAATAAAAATAAGATGTGACTGTCGTCTTTGGTAATGCAGGCAGCTTAGAAGACAGATCATGTACACATAATCTACTAGTTGCAGCTAGGGTATTATTTCAGCCTTATGAAAGTTTGTAATTATAAGAACGAGTACAATCTCTTTTGAGATGTGACCTATTTTGGTTCAGGAGGCAGCTTGAAACAGGCCTTCAGGGGTCTATTGGCACACGGCCTGCTGGCGGGCCACACCATGAAAAGTCAACAATCTAGGTCAGGGTGACCATGCATTAATCTAATTTTCATCACCCCTAAAGGGCTGTAATGAGTATGGGGAAGGTAACTGTTACCTGCTCAAAAGAATGGAGTCCACTTTCTTTTCCTAACCTCACCATATCTTCCAAAATGGCTTTCTTCAGATCCTGAATCAAACCATATGAGAAAAATTACAAGACAATAATACATTTCAAAATGGAGGTAGAGGAAACAACTTTGAAGTGCAACTGGTGATTGTGCCAACATGTGCTAACTCACAACATGTGCTAACAACTGAGGCTGATACTCCCTGGCAGCACTCCTATTACTGCATCTCTTCAGGCAAGTAAGTACATGAAATGGCCAAAGGAGTGACCATGAACGGGCTAAGGGACCACTCGATTTTTTTTTTAAGCAGCCTTATTGGTGAGCCTGGTGAGTCTTGCTACCCCCAGATGAGTGCAAGGCCCAGGGCACAGCAGGAGAGGGAGGGTCTATGGCTGCTGCTAAGAAATGGACCATGTGATTCAAGAAGCTACACTGAGTCGGAGCATGGCAACCTCCTCCTTGGAGTTCTATATGTGGCATTAGAAGGTTTCAGGAAGGTGTGACTAGCTAATGCTCTAAACAGGAAGAATTGTGCTGCTTTTTCTATTCCATGGCTAGCTGTCTATGCCCAGTAGAGACAAAATCTACCTTGTATCTGAAGGAGCACGGCAGGTGAGTGAGAAAGCCTATGCTCACATCTGACTTTGCTGCTCACTTGACCTTGGGTGAGTTACCACCCTCCCTGGACTCTCCACTAAGCTACAAAGTAACAGGGCTGGATGAGCTTTCTGTGATGTCTCCTGGCTTAAAATCGAAATGTTTGTCAAGAAATATGAGTTTCTTCAGTAACAAAAAAAGACAAATCTCTGGTTTAGGATCGATCCCCACCATGTATAAAGTAATGTTAGAAATTCTGTATGAGTTTGAATTTCACTGGTCTACCGTTTTTCTATTTTCTCATTACATGGTATCACAAAACATTCAGTAACTTTTCAGGAGACAGCCCCAAGATACCAACCTTACTTGTGCAGAGATCTGCATATGTTCCTTCAATTCCTCTCTTCTGGGCCCAGGAGGGCATAACTTCAGGGTCAGGTACGACAATGCCTACCAAAAAGGCCTGCAGTGCTCACCAAAAGAGAACACAGTCATGACAAATGCTTTTAAAGTGGTTATATGTGGTCCAGCATTAAAATTCTCAGACTCTACCTTTTTCAAAAACTAAGTATATGCTTATAAGACATTTGCTCACGTCACAAAACATTTCTGCCAATATATCACAGGTTAATTTTCTGATATATTCCTCCGGTTTTGTATAAAAAACAGTAAGTTTAAGGACTCTAAGAATCGGTAAAGTTAGACTGATATGCACCTTTGATTCTCATGCCAATCTCAAATCAGCACATCTTTAGGATGCTGATCAAACAACTCTGATCCAAATTCTGTGAAGCAAAAACCAAATGCTTCTCAAGATTACCTGGCTACTTTGAAATGGTTTTATTAATACAATCTTCATTCATGAAAGACTTCATTTTATTTACTTTTTCTTTTGAGGCAAAGTTTCACTCTGTTGCCTAGGCAGGAGTTCAGTGATGTGATCATGGCTCACTGCAGCCTCCACCTCCTGGACTCAAGCAATCCTCCAACCTCAGCTCCCGAGTAGCTGGGACTACAGGGGCATGCCACCACACATTGCTAATTTTTATATTTTTTGTAGAGATAGGGTTTTGCCATGTTACCCAGGCTGGTCTCAAACTTCTGGGCTGAAGCAATCCTCCTGCCTCAGCCTCCCAAAGTATTGGAATTACAGGCATGAACCACCATGCCAGGCCTATTTTAATTTTTAAAGCATTCCTTAAAAAATAATTTCATAATATTTAATTATAGAAATGCAATGATAGTATAGAATATATTTAATATCAGGCTGGGCATGGTGGCTCACACCTGTAATCCAGCACTTTGGGAGGCCAAGGCAGATGGATCACTTGAGGACAGGAGTTCAAGACCAGCCTGGCCAACATGGTGAAACACTGTCTCAACTAAAAAGACAAAAAAAAAAGTTAGCTAGGGATGGTGGTGTACACCTACAGTCCCAGCTATTGGTGATGGGGAGGGAGGGTGAAGGGGCTTAGGTAGGAAGATGGCTAGAGCCCAGAAGGGAGGTTGAGGCTACAGTGAGCCATGTCTGTGACACTGCACTCCAGCCTGGGTGAAAGAGCAAGATCCTATCTCAATAATAATAACAGTAATAATGATTTTCTAAAAACAAAAAATAAAAACAGCAGAAACCCTGAATCTTTCTCTAGTACTTTATCTCAAAAATCCTTGGAAGTAAGTGAAGCATAAGTGAAATGGAGTGGGAATGTTCATTAGCACTACTTTAGGCAACTTACTTGACCTAATTACATTTTAACACACTATAAGTAATTAAGATTTCTCCTTTAAAAAGGAGTTTTCTCTCATGTTCTAAAATGCAGAAGAGAACCTGGTGTCTGATTGGAGGTTAATGTTTAATCTGAATTTTTCAGCATGCCTAGGATGTGTGGGAGGGCTGAAGCCCGGGGGCCTCACCTTTAAGCTGTCCCCATGGACATAGATTTGTGCTACAGGTTGGCTCCGGACGTAGATGTTCTCAATCTTCTCGGGTGCAACATATTCTCCCTGAGCAAGTTTAAATATGTGCTTTTTCCGATCAATAATTTTAAGAGTTCCTGCCTGTAGAGTTGGACAAACAGCTTTAAAAAACCATGGCACTCTCAAGCTTGAAGACTTCACTTCTCAGTGCCATAACCCCTCACCCCTGCCCTACCCCACCCTGCAGACCCCACCCCAGTTTCTTTTCCTTCTGTGGTGTCTGCTCTTAGGGAGCTGCAGGGCCCCTGGAAAGAACTGCTGTGCACTGAAGCTTGATGACATACAAGCTCTGCTGGGCCACAAACATCCACTGTCCTTTCCCCTCAGCAGTTAGCCCTCAACATATCACCTCCCACCACTGCCATCCCTCACATCTAGCAGCAGGTGTCCTCCCCTCATCCTTCTTGGAGGCCCACCGCCCTTCCATCACGGCACCCCTTGTGCACACACCCTTGCTCCAGCTGCCCTTTGTCTCACTAGCATCTTTGGTTCACTCCCTTAGACCACTCTCAGGTCTCTTGCCCAGCTACTTCCTCCACCTCTAAAGAGCAGCCTCTGGGCCAGGCGCGGTGGCTCAAGCCTGTAATCCCAGCACTTTGGGAGGCCGAGGCGGGTGGATCACGAGGTCAAGAGATCAAGACCATCCTGGTCGACATGGTGAAACCCCGTCTCTACTAAAAATTAAAAAAAATAGCTGGGCATGGTGGTGCGTGCCTGTAATCCCAGCTACTCAGGAGGCTGAGGCCGCAGAATTGCCTGAACCCAGGAGGCAGAGGTTGTGGTGAGCTGAGATCGCACCATTGCACTCCAGCCTGGGTAACAAGAGCGAAACTCCATCTCAAAAAAAAAAAAAAAAAAAAGCAGACTCTGTATCCTCTGGCATATAGCACAGACCGGGCAGAGCCCCAGTGACTCCCACCTGACATGACAGATGACACTAGGAGCCCAGGCCCCTGCAGGATCTCTGCAGCAGGCAGGTTACCTCCTTGGACAGGCTTGACCGTTGAATGTTACAATTTCCTCATCCCACTGACAATGCACCTTGGGGTTACCACTGTTTTCTCTTCATTGGTCACTCCCAAGTCAGTCCAAGCTTCCAGCTCTTTACTGAGCTCCAGATCCAGAACCCATATACCCTTGGAATGCTTCAAAAAACAAGGCTATTTGTCTCAGAGATGTAACATGCTCCTAAATGAAGCTCATGACCAACCTTCACAAGCCTGCCCCAGCATCCAAACCCCAAACCTGAAGATGATGTTGCTGTTTGCATCTCCTGGGATCTCCAGCAGTCAGGCTCACCCGTCCTTGCTCACAAATCCATCTCATATCCACCACCTCCTCCCAACATAAACACTTCCTGACTGGTCTTCTGCACACACTCTATCCCCACTCCATCTGCCAGTGCCAAAGCAATCTCTCCAGAGGAGAAAAATGAGCAGGTTCTGTTGTGCTTAAAACCCAGGCTGGACATCAGGCAGTTTCCCTACCCCAGCTTCTTTGGTCCTCATGATCCATTATCTGGGTGTTGTAACCCAGCTGAGGAAAATGAGGTTCAGAAAGGTTAATTAACTCCTTTAAAGCCACATAGCTAGGAGATAGGGAACCAGGATTTCAACCACAGTCCTTCTGGACCAGAAGACCATCCTTATTCCTTGATCTATTTAATATTATTTCAAAATATATATATATATTTTGAAATGGTGGCTCACTCTGTTGCCAGGCTGGAGTGCAGTGGCACAGTTTTGGCTCACTGCAACCTCTGCCTCCTGGGTTCAAGTAATTCTACTTCCTTAGCCTCCCGAGTAGCTGGGACTACAGGCATGCAGTGCACCACCATGCCCAGCTAATTTTGTATTTTTAGTAGAGATGGAGTTTCACCATGTTGGCCAGGATGGTCTTGATCTCTTGACAAAATAATATTTTTTAAAGCACAAATGTCTTTATAGATGATTTCTACCTAAGTTTCAAGAATGAATTCTTCAAACCTTGCACACACTCTTCCAGAAAACAAAGGGAAAAACCCACTTACCAACTCATTCAATAAGCTGACAACAAAACAATAATAGGGTTGTAGATAAAAAGAAAATTCACCTTGGGAGGCCGAGGTGGGTGGATCACAAAGTAGGGAGTTCCAGATTAGCATGGCCAATATAGTAAAACCCCACCTCTACTAAAAATACAAAATTAGCTGGGCATGGTGGTGTGTGCCTGTAATCCCAGCCAATCAGGAGGCTGAGGCAGGAGAATTGCCTGAACCCGGGAGGTGGAGGTTGCGGTGAGCCAAGATCGTGCCATTGCACTCCAGCCTGGGTAACAAGAGCAAAACTCCATCTCGAAAAAAAAAATTTTCAAAAATCATATAAAAATAATAATGTAAAAAACAAACTCTCACAGACTTCCTGCCTGGAACCTTAGGCTGTGTGCTCAAGCACAACACTAAGTGCTCTACATGAATTAATTTATTTGCTTCACATTACCCCCTTAATGGTGGATGATTTCACTCAAGTTACAGAGCAGCAACAGCAGATCCAGGGATTTGTGAGCCTTCAGGCTTTTACAACATTGAGGGCCCTCTTTAAGAATCACATAAATTGAAGTGCAGGGCCTTGGAAGGGGCTGATGCAAGTGGGGGGCCTGAAGCCTAAGCTTCCTAAGCCAACGGGACAATCCACCCTCTGTAGGTGTTCAGGGCCTGCTGACCTCTCTAGCCTCTCTCTCCCGTACCTATGAGCCTTCCGTTGGAATTTGTTGCCTTGCACATCTAGTGCCTCTACTCAGCACATGTTACTACCATGCCCTGATTGTCCTTCCTACTCCCTCCTCTTGGAACATGACTCGGACTTGGATCTAGTAGCTGCCTGTCCTCCTCTGCCTCTCCCTAGGTGAGTGTGTCCCCAGCTCATGCCCATCACATTGGGTTGGGAACTGTCTAATCAGGCATATCTTTCCTAAGGAGAGTCCCCGGGCCAGGGCACTCACTGGAGAAACATCTTCATCTGGGGCAGGGATGAGGGGTTCTCAAAGGGAAGTACACAGGCCCACCATGTTGGCCAGGATGGTCTTGATCTCTTGACAAAATGATATTTTTTAAAGCACAAATGTCTTTATAGATGATTTCTACCTAAGTTTCAAGAATGAATTCTTCAAACCTTGTACACACTCACTAGCCAACTCGGCCCCCACTGGGCTCAACATCATTCATATGCCTGATAAACTCAACACCTCAAAATGTCCACCCAAACCTTAGCACTTCCCAAAGACACAGGAGAGGCTCTTGGGGTGGGCTGCACCAGGCAAGGGTTCTTAGTGTCAGTGACAGCTGTTTTCTGGTTGAAGCATTCATCAAAGCATCTCCTATGTGCCAGGCATTGTGCTAAGTTATTTACAGGCATAATCTCATTTGTTCTTCAAAAAAAATAACTTTATTTTTCGTCTTTTTTAAAAACATTTTTAAAGGATAAAAAACAGGCCAGGTGCAGTGGCTCATACCTGTAATCCCAGCACTTTGGGAGGCCAAGACGGGCAGATCACTTGAGGTCAGGGGTTCGAAAACCAGCCTGGCCAATGTGTTGAAACCCTGTCTCTACAAAAATACAAAAAAGTTAGCCAGATGTGATGGTGTACATCTGTAGTCCCAGTTACTGGGGAGGCTGAGGCAGGAGAATTGCTTGAACCTGGGAGGTGGAGGTTGCAGTGAGCCAAGATCTCATCACTGCACTCCAGTCTGGGTGAAAGAATGAGACTCCATTTCATAAATAAATAAATAATAAAGGATAAAGTCCAGATCCTGCACAACACAACAATAGCTTCAGAGGTAAGGAATGTTATGATCCCCATTTTAAAAATGACAGAATGAGGCAAAGTGGTTTTGGCTAAAAACTGGGGCCCATGGCCAAGGAATGCCATGAAGGCTTGTTCGCCTGTTCTATAAGTGAGCCAAAGTGAAGCCACAGAGGGGGATGAGGCTCTGCTTAAGGTTACATTAGCAACTGCTGGCAAAGCCACAGGAACTAAGGCATCCTCCCACCTGGCTCCAAGCTTTCCCCTTCACTCAGTGCCACCTTTTGGCTGAGGGCCAGCATCAGTGGGCTCATAGGCCCTGCCCTTTTCAGATGTCCTAGATATATGTACCCCCTGTTCCTCCTATTTCACATTAGATTTCTCACACTGTTGGATATCTTTCTGGAACCATTAAGGATAGGAATTCAGTTTCCACAACCTCAGGCACACCCACCTGCACAGGTCCCTCATCACCTTCATGAGGTGGAGAGGGAGAAGGAAGAAGCTCTGGCGGTCAAGGAAGGAAGAGCCTCCAGAGGTGCCTCTGAATGACTCATTGTCAGGGGTATTTGGAGAAGACTCCTATCTCAGTGACCCAGATCACATACCCTCCCCCACCACCAAAATGTTTGGAGCTCCATGGTTCCAAACGTACACACCGGCAGCCATTTCCCAATATCTCCAGTGTGAAGCCAGCCATCACTGTCCAGGGCCTCCTTTGTCCTGTCTGAATCTTTCAAGTAGCCTTTGAACACGTTTGGTCCTCTCACACATATCTGTGGGACAAAAAACATGGCTTCTCTCAGCCACAGCATGAGGAATGAGGAGATGGGAGGCTATCACCAGGCATATGGAGATAAGGTACACTATCCATCAGGAAAGCCACTGTGGATGTGGCAGGGATGGAAACAGAGGACAAGGAACAGCCAGCAGCCATCTGAACTGTCTCCTGTCAAGCAACATCCTCCCCATCTTTCCCCCACTGCCATGGCCACCCTAGGCCTTTGTCATCTCTTCTCCCTCAGGAGTTCTCTGGCCTTGGCCACATGCTGCTCTGTGACACTTAATGGGGACTCGTCACAGACATTGGTGGCTGGCTGATTCTTCCAGGGATGCTTCAGTCCCCTCCTCCATTAGCAGGCAGTCATTCCCACTCACTCCCATGGAATGAACAAGTACAGACCAGCTCTACTCCATCTGGCCTATTTGTAAAGGGTCAAGTTTCTGCTGGGACAGTTCACACAGCAGCAGGCCATAACACAGCTGGGGTAAAAAATGAATTTTTACAAAAGTTTGGGGCTGGGCATGATGGCTAATACCTGTAATCCCAGTGCTCTGGGAGACCAAGGCAGGAGGGATTGCTTAAGGCCTGGAGTTTAAGCCCAGTCAGGGCAACATAGCAAGACCCAGTCTCTACAAAAAAGTAAAAAGTGATGTGGGTGTGGTGATACATGCCTGTGGGACTCACTACTTGAGAGGCTGAAGCAAGAGAATTACTTGGGCCCAGGAGTTTGAGATTACACTGGACTATGATCACGCCACTGCACTCCAGCCTGGGTGGCAGAGCAAGGCCTTGTCCCTATTAAAAAATTAATTAATTTAAAAGTCTGGGAATTCCAAATCTTGATTTAGACCACTGGCTATTGGTTGCCTCATAAACAGGAGAGGAGATGCTGAGTTGAGTTGAGTCAAATTAATCAGTACTTTAAAATGACTTTACACACAAGGCAAAAGGAAAATCATTCCATCTCTACTGTTCTTGTTTGTTTTTACTCACTACATGCAGCAGCCACAGACATGAATGGCTAAATCCTTGTTTACCTCTCCCTCTCCTTTGCAGGCCCAATAGTTCAGTTCCTCAACATCAACGAGCTTGATATGATTGCAGGGAAGTGGCGCCCCTACGTGCCCTGGAACACCGGAGCAAGATGGTATTTGTTAGTGTTCAGATCTGTTTTAGCACTGAATATGTTCCAAGTCCCTTAAAACCTCTGAGTGGTCAAAGTGGGGAATTATGGGTAGAAAGCAACATATCTTTAAAGGGGCAATTGTTACTGGCAAATGTTGGTCATAAAACAAAGTTCTGGAGAAAGCAAAGGCCAACCTCTGCCTGGGCATTTGTTTTACACCTGATTCTTAATGAGCAGGACAGGCACACTTGGCCCAGCACCAACATGCACAGGATCCCAGGTGGTGTAGGGTGGCACCAACGATAGGGTCAAGATTTTTGACAGTAGTGTCCACGTTAAATCATTTTCCCCATTGTCAGATCACATGTCTTGGTTTGGGGATGATAAAATATAGCAATCACTGCTTTTTCTCTAGCCACCAGACTGTTGATTAACATGCTGGAAATCTAGGAAATCTTAAACTGTGGATTCTGATTCATTGGGTTTGGAATGGAGATTCGACATTTCTTAGAGGCACCAAGGTGATGCTGCTTCTGGTCCCACACTACACTTTGAATAACAAAGGAATGGAAAGCTGGGATGAAGAAACGTGGCCCATGAAAATAAGACTCCAAATTCTCTTGGTCAAATTTACCACAAAATTGCATCTAAGTCATTTTCTAGTCATTGTGGTTTTTACATAATTCACTGGCAAGTTGGAAGGTTTTTAAGCAGATGCTAGCAGCCAAGGTCCTGAAAGAAAATTGAGCCACATATATGAAAAATGAGGCTTACCACTTTGGTTTCCCTTTTAAAAGAGATGCTGTCAAATCCTTGACAATAATATACAAAGATATCTATCCTCATACACAAAAACCTTTTCAAGTTTTATGCTAAGGATGAACTGAAAAAGGTAAAAACCTCAGCAGTGTTTACACAGGAAAATGTAAAGGATGACGTGAAGGGGAAGAGATACATGTCCAAAAGGAAGGAATACATGATACTGGAAGAATCTGGTCTACAAGTGGTGGGTAATCTATGGGCTCCTACTACAGACCTGTTTCCCCTTTTGCTGAAAACCACTCAGAAAAGAATCCTTTAGGATACTGACTTCTCCAAACCTAGGGCCACTCTTTGTGCTTAAGTTTGCTCAACTGCAAACTGGAAAATTTTAGGATCACGTGCACATGAAAGAAATATGCTGTTTAATGCAATATTATTTTCAGAGTACCTTGAGATAGTCAGCAGAAACATGACAGGTGGATTTTAAATTGAAATAAATGAAATCACATTTGGCCAAGCCAAGTATAGAAGCATTTTCCCCTTAGTCCTGTCTTTTAAAACTGTAGTTGAATAAAGCCTATTTTATAAATAAATTATTTAATCACTTTGCTGCTGGCAGATGTCCTAGAGGAGCCACCTTTGGAGATCCTTGTTTTCTTTGTCACAGGTTTTAGTATTTTCCTATTTCTTTTTATAGATACATAGAAGTTATGCACAAAAGAAGTAATAGATCACAAAATACAACTCCAGGTGGAAAAATGTTTATAATAACAGGTTATTGGATTTTTATAGATTCTTGATACTACGTGGCCTTGCTTACAGTCACTTTAGAATTAAGGAAGCAAGCTATGAATTAGACATAACATGTAAAGGAGAGGCAGGTTTATAGTGGCCAGGGTACTGTTTCTTAAAGGGCCATTTTAGAAGCCCTTTGGGAGCTAGGTTTTCCTATGATATCAATGTCTTGAAGGCAGAGGCAACCTCAAAAAGGAACAGCTCTCATCCATATCCTCATTTTGAGGAGATGCATCCTTCAGAGCCAATGGGAAGCAGGCCTGTAGTGGGTAGCCCATGGATTACTCACCAAATTTAGACCAGATTCTTCCAGTATGCTAAGGATGAATAAAAAATGGAAAAACCTCAACAGTGTTTACAGATTCACAACAGATTCATAATGCCGCAACACAGACATAACCATCATTAATGTTTTTCTTCTATTTCCTTTGCTTTTTTCCTAAGTACCCATGCAAATTTTCTTTCCATGAGGGAGGTTTAGAGTGAGCTGCTTTTACTCCACAGTGGCTTGTGAGCCAGTCCCATATCCCATAGCCCATCCTACCTGAGGTCCAGTCCCCAGGCGTGGTGAAGGTACATCCAGCTGTGCACTCAGTTTGGCCATAACCTTCATAAACCTTCAAGCAAAACACAGAAGCCACACTGTGGGCACACACCCTCCAAGAGCTGACTGGCCACCCCTTTCAGCCAGCTAACCTCCCAATGAGCATCTGACTGCTTCATGATCAGGATGGTGGAGGGAAGGAAGTGCTCTGGAGGTAGACAACTCCAGGTGAAGCTGAACACACACAACAAACATGGCCACATTCGCTTGGAAGAAGTGCTACTTTTATCACAGACACTTAGTAAATGAGGTTATATAGTGTCGGGTAAAGATTTCCGACCTATTTTCAACCACTGATCTAGTTTTCATCTGGATAATACAAAATAAACATCTTAAAATCTACTCTATGTTTTATTTTGGCTCCATAAGCTATTCCCCTCCAGAACCCCACCTGTTTGCATGAATACACCACATAAGAGTGTCTGCTTTTAGAAGTGGTCAGGCCATGCTGGTGTGGAATATGAGTACAGTGAATAATGCTCAAGGCTTCTAAAGCAGAAAAATGGAAGCATGCACAATTATGAAAAAGATGGGTCTACTTTACTTAAAATCAGTCAGCCACAACCATGTTATGATACCCTACTATGTAGGAACTTAATAAATATGAGTTGAATGGAAAATGAAGAAATAAATTTTGACAGATGACAAAATATAATGGATCAAATAACACTTAAATGGGCTTTCTCCCTTGTTCTCCTTTTCTGGATTGCAAGAGGCTGGAGAAGGCAGAGATGCAGTATAGGTGTGGTACACATGCTCTAGCACATTGATGATCTATCTGTGGATTGTCTGATCCCTTTGCCCTTTGCAAAAAACTTTCAAAGGTCCAGATAAAAAGAATTTCCCAGAGTGGATAAACCTGGGCTTTCCAGAATGTTGTAACGCCATCCTGACTTTCACTGGCTCTGAGTTTTTTCCTCCTCAGAGGAAGGAGTTTTGTCTCACAAAAATCTTGCCCCCAGGTTCTTTCTCTGAACCGTAGAGGGTATGGTAGTTTTCCCTGCCCTAACATATGTCCTGCTGTTCCTAAGGAAGGACATACAATGACAATACCTGGCACCCTAGAGCTGCCCGGAGAAATCCCAGAACTGTTGGTGATGCTGGGGCTGCTCCAGTAACAATCATCCGCACGCACCCACCAAGACTGGCCTGTGGGAAGAGAGAAGAGCTATTGAAGTTTGTGATGTCTGAGATGGTGTCCAGCCCACCTGGGCCTCATCCAAGGTCAACATCCAGCAATTGGGTCCTACTTGGATGGTAGGGCTGGGATCAGAAAGAAGGCCTGAGGCTATATAACACACGAGCTGAGGAAAGCCCTTCCCCTCCCTAATGATAAACACAATCATTAGCTCTGCAACTCAATCCACCATATGACCAATTCTTTTATGCCTTTGAGGTAAGTACCATTAGTCTGGGAGGCATTCTATAATATTGGTTCTTCTCCCTTCCTTAAAATACCCAGCTGCTCCCTCACCCTCCCATCACTGATTGACAAGAATCCACAACAATTACCTAGGACAATTTATTCCAATTTCCATTATAATGGCATTGCCTTTTTTCATGTATAAATCAATACCATGCTTTATTTACCATGTACTGCTAAGGACAAAGAATACTTGAAACACTTTGTTTATGTATGTTGAGCCAAGATATTTTAAATATTAATTTTCATAACTAAAAATAGAGTAGCAAGAAAAAAATGAATAATGCTACTAATTAACTACAGATTCCTTGGGTAATGCAGAGTTTGAAAACTTTTGTGGAGGTACAGAAACAAGTAATTCAAGATTGGCCTGCTGTGGGAGACGTTAAAGGGACAGAACCCAGGAAAGAAAAGGATTTTGAACCATTTGGCTGGAACCACGCTGCTGGAAAGCCACCATGGCCAGAATTACAGGGAGGGGCAAGAGAACCTACAGGGCCCAGGAGCTTGTCAGTGGCACACTGACCTGACTACCCAAGGGCAAAGTCACTCTGTTGCCTGTGGAGATCAAGGGATCTACTGTCCAGAGTAGGTTTTCTTCTTGCTCATCTCAAACGTAACACATCTCCAAAAATCAAGAATGTCTAAGTTTAACATTTCAATTGTAGCTTAAGCTTTGATTTCATGAGCAAATGAGTTATTATTTCACACGATTACAGGGCACTGGGATGGATTTCTCCAGTTCTCCTGTAAGGTCACTCACTGGATTCTTAGGTGTCATCTATAATCACTTGTTCATTTTTTTACCTGAATCTTATTAAAGAAGAGTTCATCCCAGATACTATCATTCCTGATGATTCTACTCCGGACCTCGGCTTGTTTACGCTTTGCTGCAAACTCCAGGAGCCAGCGCTTTAATGGTGTGTTTGCCTGGCTGAAGATCTGAGGAACACAAGTTGGAAGTAGCTATCAGGGCCTGAATGTCTCACTTCTAGACATATCCCCCAGGAATTAGGCCCAGACTGGCCAGCAGAGAAGCCATGTTCCCTTTTGCCCCTGCAGAAGGTCACTGAATGTGTGACCTTGAGCTGAAGGTTAACACTGTCTTGCTTCACAGGCATGCTGTGAAGGTGGAAGTTCCTGAAAAACAATCTCCCCCACAGGGGTTTTTGAAGAATAGGAAGAAAACAGGAGAAGGAAGAATGAGAAAGAGTCAGGAACTACAAGAGAGGAGGCAAGTTCCAGGACCTAGCAGCAGAGGCATTAAAAGCCTGCCTGCAGCTCCAGACCCTGTCCAAACAAGCAAATATGGAGCCCCCCAGCTCCGCTGGAGACTTCCTGCAGAACTCACCTTGTCGTACATCCGGTTTAGCAGTCGTGGTACCACAGGGAAGATGGTGGGGCATAGAGCCTTCATGTCATCTGAGAGGAGGCGGATGTCTCCCTGGAAGAAGCCAACACGCCCTCCATGGCAATAGACAACAGACTGGAAGGAGAGGACAGGAAGGGAGGAGTCCCCTTAGGGTGGTCACTCCTGGCTATTGTCCAAAGCTGTCCAAAGTGCTGCCCTACATGGAGGGCACCCATGACCCCCTGAGCCAGCTCTGGCTGCTGCCATGAGACACTGAAGAACGCAATCTGAGGTGACCCAACCCCCACCTCCCGCTAAGTCCCACTCAGGCTCAGGGAGATGAAGCAGGAGAAGGGATGGAATCCTGAGCCTCTGGGAAATGCCAAAGCAGCCATTCTCACTGGTGTCTGCCCCCTCACCTACTCCCAAACTCTGGACATGGGCCTCCCTGGGGACTCAGGTCTCTGAATACTACAGCCTATTAATGGGTCTGCTCCAGGTCTTAGAGTTCTAGGATTTCCCCAGGGAATTCTGGGAAGGTGTATAGACCCTGTGAGCACTGAAGATGCTGCTGAAGTTGGCTGTGGGTGCTATTTAGTGGGAGGCCAAGGGGGGAGCCCCTGGCTAGTTCCCAATGGGACTAGAAGTACACCAGGGGCCTTATATATGCTCCTTTCTTTCTTGCTTATAGCAACCCTATAAGGGAAGTGGTATCCCTACAGGTAAGGAACACAAAGCTCAGAGAGGTAACACGACTTGCCCAGGGTTACAAAACTAATTTACAGTAATTGCTAGCATTGTATCCAGGTACAGAAAGCTAGAAAGCATGCTTTCCAGATGCCGGAGCCTTACCTGCACTATTATGTAAGACCTCCCCCAAGGCAAAATGGGAAAGGCCTAGAAGACACAGTTTATTCATAGGCTGGTCCCTTGAGTGATACACATATGGAGAATTCCTTGCCTCTATAATCACAAATGGATTCCTCCTCCCACTCCCTCTGTACTTCCACAAGACCTGTCTCAGGGCCAGCCTAAGGCCAGTCCCCCTCTGCAGCCTGAAGAGCCAAGCCAGTTTCATTCCCCAACTTTACTCTTTTGTTTTCTCATTTAGGAGTTTGTAAATTGTGCAAGTTATGGAACATAAGTTTTTTGGCCATAAATGGAGCTGTACTGAACAGAGCTTGAATGGTAAAGCACTTCTGCAAACCTGCAATGCTCTCTGAGAAGATGCTATCAGCTGAGATCTCTCTCAGCTGAGTGTGTCCATGGGTAAGGCAGGGCAGGCCTGGGGGCTTCCCTAGAACAATGCTCCCAGGAGGGACAAGCTGGGTGGCTAAGGTCCTCTGAGCCCTCTGACCCCTGTGGTACCTTCTGAGGACAGGGCAGTTTGGTCCTACTTCATGCCACCAGTGACAAGTGACACCTGCTAGGGTTATGGGTTCTAGGCACAGACTCTGCCTCCCTGATGCCAGGGCCTTACCTGCACCATTCGCTCAAACATGTGTGCTAAAGGCAAATAGGAAATGTGCACATCCGAACAAGTGGGAGCCCACTGACTCTGTAAGAAAAAAGAAGGAGCCCAGGCAAGGCCCGGTCAGTCAGGTGGGTGTCTTACCTGGATTACTCTCTCAAACATGTGAGCCAGAGGCAGGAAGGAGATGAGCACATCGTCCTGTCTCGGAAAGATCACTTTCTGCAGGTGACGGGCATGGGAGACAGAAAGGAAAGAAACACTGACAGAAAGACAACAAGAGAATCATAAAACAATAAAGAGAAAATGGTCCTGGAGGGCAAACAGGAAGAGGGGGAGGGAAATGGAGGCGGTGAGGACAGAGAGAGGGGTGAGATGAAAGAGAGAAGAAATACGGGAGAGAGGGAGAGAGAGAGGGAAGGGAAGGTGCAGAAAGAAGAGAGAGACAGAGAGACAGGGCACCATAGGAAGCGGAGTGTTAGGTCGCAGCGCCAGTGGGTCTAGGTTATCTGCAGAAGCAAAGAGCCAAATGAAGCACACAGAAACCAGCAGAGCGGGCTCTGCAGGGAAGTCTTCTCTCAGAGGGCCTGCCTCTCACTTGCAGTCAGTCGGCACCAGCCCGGCTCTCTCCCCTGCCTCCCCACACCTGCAGGACCTGCCCCACACTCCATTTCCCCAGCCTCCCCAGATCACTTGGGCAGGGATTCAGAAGGGCTTGGCAGCTAGTCAGCACTTTCTAGTCCTTGCAGAGAAAGGGGCCCAGAGACTCCTAAGTTTATGCACCTGTGGCGGAGTACAAGCCGAAGCCAGAGGAGGAGACAAGACCAAACCCAAACAGTGGCTGAACCTGGGCTCACAAGCCATCCCTGGAACCAGGGCCTTAAAGGGGAATGCTGACAGAGAGCCCTGCTGCACCCTGTCAGCAAAGGGACGGCCCAGGCCACATCTCACAGTTGTCTCACAGATCCTAGGGACAGGGGCTACTCCAGCAAAGGGAGACGTGCACAAGGCTTGGGCTCTGGGTGGGCTGTGCCCGCAGGCGCTCTCCTCTGCTGGACTTCCCTGCTCTCCACTTCTTTGCAGAGGCCTTCACTCTCCTGTGCTGGCTTTTGGGCCAGTTTGGGCAAACCTTGGCTCCCAATCTGGGCTCAGCCACCAACTGTCTCTCACAGTTTTCTACTAAAATATGTAAGTGTTTGGGGCACATGCTCCATGATGTCATCTCCCATGAACATGGAGAGTGATTTTCTCCACGGTGGAGAAAAAGCCTAACTTTTTTGAAAAGCTGCATTCCTTTATACTGAAGGAAACTACAGGACATACTCACCCCTTGTGGGAAAAGTCCTCCTTTGTTAGCCGGTTATAAAATGCTAACATGCTTTGGTCAGGCCAAGATATCAGAGCTTTTTTGATATTAGATTTACCTTTAAGTACAGCCTTATAAATTAGCAGTTGCCGTTGTTTCTCAGACTCTAGTAGTCCTTAAACACAAAATGACTGAATTAAACCCTGACCTATTCGAAAAACAAGTTATTAAGGATTATTTTCTAAATAAAGGTATACACAAAACCATAGGTATATCAATTTTTGAAGTTAGAAAAGAAAAACAGATTTGTACACTTTTCTTTCTGGGATCTTAGTGCTCCCAGAAATCAACTGAATATTTGTCAAGTCTGGATCATTTCCGTATTTGGAGTTAAAAATGATGGTAAAAGTGGGGTTGCTCTAATGAGAACAGAAACTTTTGCCTGTGAATGGCAGCCCAGATTATATCAGGAAAACAAACAAACAAATAAAAAAAAATCCTCTGAGGCTTGAGACTGTCCTCAAGAGACAACTGCAACAGCAATTCTACTTTATTCACCTCTGTCACTTTCAGAAAGCCTGAGAAATCGGCCACCACGTTCCCATGGGTGAGCATCGCACCTTTTGGGTTCCCTATAAAAAGAAAGCAAGAAGCCAAATTAGTTGGAAACTCAAGGGCCACTTCTTGAGAACAGTGTCCAAGGTGGCAGCCCCAGACACCCAGGATGCCCACCCAAGCCTCTGGCCTTTGTCTTCAGCCACCTTTAGACAACAGGCAGATGAATGCTGCTTCAAGGACCATCATCCTATAGACATAGCCCACCATTAGGCTCCCAGCAGCATGGGACCAGGAGGCAGGAGACATGGCTACACAGGTGGGGTGTCTCAAGGTTTGTTGGGTCAACTGCTTGTGGTCTGCACCGTATCCTTTCCCATCTCCCTTCAGGAGCACAGGCTCTCGGCCCTCAGTTCCCTTACGTGCAGCAAGCGCTCTGTACTGCTCCCTGGGCTTGAGTGGGGCTGGTCTCCTGAGTCTAGCAGCCAACTCTGAGGACTTCTCTGCTGCATTTGACACCTGGAAAGGCCCCAGGTTCAGGCCAGGCTGGAGGTCCAGAGGGCTGGGCAGCCCTTCCTGCCTGCTCATTCGCAGAGCTGGGACACAGATATTCTTGCTTTATTTTGATACATTTCACTACTGCTCGTGAGGCCTGGTTCTCCGGGCCCTTAAGAAAGCCAGGGACTGCTAGGATGACTCAGACAGCAGAGGCCGCTAGGGATCCCAGGCACAGAAGGCTGGGAAGGAAGGTCAACTTGGCTACCATTTCCTGTTGAGGTGGATACAGCTCCAAAGTTCCTGCCAGACAGATCTGACAGGGCTCAAGTCCTAGCCTTGCCACTCATGGCCAGCATAACACTGGCAAGTCATTGTTCCTCTGTTTCCTTACCTGTAAGATAGGGACAGTAATGCCCACCTCATAGGCTTCTATAAGATCTAAAGATATAATCCAGGTACGAAAGATGTTAGTTTCCACTGGGGCAGCCAAAGATGTTAAATTAGATGTTTCCACGGAGGCAGCAGATACAATAACTGCAAAACTGGCAAGTGAGGGGCCAGACTACATTCAGAATTGACCCGGGAAACATCAAATAATCAAACATGTTAACTTTGCAACCCTCACCCTGAATGACGCGATAAAAGGGCTGAGTAGAGTGTTGTACTCAATGCCCCTGAATTACTCACTTTAAAATGGTAGATTTTATGCCATGTAAAATTTGCCTCAATGAGAAGGTAGGGAGAGAGAGAGAGAGAGAGAGAAAGAATGATTTTTTTTTTTCCTTTGGAGACAGCTTCACGGAGCCTATAGCCCATCAAAAGGGGAGGAACGAAGGGTCCTCTCTCCCAATCCCAACCTAACACCCAAGCTAACTCAGCCCTTAATGGGATCACTTGAAGAGCCTGATTGTGCTCCCTGCAGCTGGGAGACCCAATGAGAAAGGTGAATTAAGACTGTGGCTGTCAAAAAAAAAAAATTAATCCCAGGGAGTCTGGATATGGAATCTGCAGAAGGAACATCAGTCTCAGAGAGCAGTGGTGGGAATGGTGGGGTGCAGGAAATCTTATCCACAAGACCAGTTTGCCAGGGCAAAAGGACCATCGCCCATCAGGGGAAACAATCAAGTGTACACGACAGGCAGAAGCTGAAGTGGAGCAGACAGCAGACAACCCAAGGAAGGGCAGTGCCTAAATCAAGAGAGCTCATGAAGGCAGCCATCAACCAGAGGGAGTTTAGATGTTTGCCCAACACTGTCTTCCAACTTTCATATTCCATTTATTTATTCTCCTACCCCACTGCAAACCTGGTAAAAGAGGGCAAAAACCTCTGTTAGCAAGCTGGGGGAGAAGGAGAAACATCGGAGAACAGAAGAGAGGAGGACTGTGCCCTCCTTACCAAGCCTGCAGCCAGCCCTTGCTGGGGAAAGGGAGGAGTCTCAGTCAAGTGTACTGATTCCTTTTTTGTTATTCTGAATTAAGACTGTTTGTGACTTGCAATGTCCACAAGAGTTTTCATTACCTGAGAGTGACCAGAAACAGCAAGAGATGCCTCCATTTTTTATCCAGGAGCAGAAAAAAAAAACTACCACCACAGTGCAAATTTAAAGGCACGAATGGAGACAAAAATAAAGTTGCTCTCATAATTATATCCCAGGAGGCCTACTTGTTCAACTTACTGGTGACCCATTTATCAGAGATAAGAGCATCAGGCACGGCCCAATCTTTGAGTTCAAAAGACGGACACATCTGTTTAACTGCAATGTATGGTGGATGGGATTTTAACCTGTGCTCTGGCACTTCTACCCATATTGCAAATCACAGAGGTGATTCTGGGGACACAGAAGATTATGACATGATTTAAAAAGTTACATTTCTCTAATAAATAGCTGTCAACATATCTTCTTTTTAAAAAGAAAAGGTGCCATACCATCTAATTTTATCTCTGCCTATCCTTCTTTGATCCTAACATCTTTCCTCAAACCCAGGCCCAGATTAAGAAATTTCCACATTGTCCCTTATATACAAATCCCACAGAGTACCTGGGCCCACAGAGTATTCCGAGTGTCACCTGGCAATTTCTTCCCATTGACTCTCAGGTTCTGGAAGTTTCTAAGGAATATCTCCCAAACACTAGGTATGAAATCAGAGATGTTATGAAATAGAGTCCTGTGCTACAGAGCTTTGGATTTGCAAGTTTGGCTGACTTGTTCATCCTCGATAGAACTCAGGGTGAACAGTGTAAGACTCTCAAGAGAAAGCTGTCTTCATTGATAAAAAAACAATTCTAAAGCCTCCATTCAGTTCAAGCCAAAACATACAACAGCAGTAGTTATTCAATTCAACTTGGTTAGATAAGCCCTTTCCTTCTCCAACATGATGAGAAAAGTTCATGTCCTTTAGTTTTCTTGTGGATATGAATGCCATTTTATACATGTCTAATGGCCTATAGAATTATAAAACATTCCCAGACATGCCCAAATTATTTCTTTAAGTCATCTCTACATGTGGTCCTGAAGGATGAAGGAGAAGTGAATGTTGGCAACAAATTCCGGGGGAAGACCGAAAGGTTGCAGAATCGAATTGCAGAATTTTCCCTGGTTTTCTCCTTCTCTGGTGCAATGTCAGTAAGAGATGCTGGCTACCCAGGCCGCCAGTGTCTCAGCAGTATGAGACCTACTGTCTACTTCCCGTCATCCACTCATAAGCTGACCATTTTTGTGTTTAATTTTCTCTCCAGCCACTGAAGAAAAACCCTCCAAGTTTTAGATACTGCCAATGACATTTTGGCTTTGGTCAGCGCTCCTGGGCAGGCCTCCCATGGCTATTATGTAGAAAGGCATTTTGCTGGGTGACGATCTGCCCTGGTTGGATGTTGGCTCCAAGTGAGAACAGCTGTGGATGAAGTTGAGCTCAAGGTTTCTCTTGCAGGGGTGGAAATGGGTTTGGGGACAGCTCTGGGCCACACAGCTGGGAGCTTCTGACTGCTTGTTTCTGCTTTAAACAGTCAAAGGTGGGTTATAATAGTTACTGGTGATTGAAATTCCCTGGAAGTTTCATAATGCAGGTAGAATGTTCATCTTCCTGATAAAGGCTCTCACATCTTTAGGTCTGAGTCTTACTTTTATCAATCCCATAGCCACCTATTTTTCAAAAATCAAGACTTGAGGGCCAATATGAATAGAAATAATAACTATGATAGTAGCCAAGTACTCAACACCCACTAATGTTGCATTATGCTGGGCATTGCATCCATGGGAACTCACTTATTTCTTGAAACAACTCTAAGCAGTAAGTTAAATGTATTCATCTAATAGCCAAGAAAACAAGCTTAAGAGAGGGTAAGTAGGCTGGGCGTGGTGACTCATGCCTGTAATCCCAGCACTTTGGGAGGCCGAGGCAGGTGGATCACAAGGTCAGGATTTCAAGACCAGCCTGGCCAACATGGTGAAACCCCATCTCTACTAAAAATACAAAAATTAGCTGGGTGCAGTGGCAGGCACTTGTAATCCCAGCTACTTGGGAGGCTGAGGCAGGAGAATCACTTGAACTGGGGAAACAGAGGTTGCAGTGAGCCAAGATCATGCCACTGCACTCCAGCCTGGGTGACAAAGGGAGACTCTGTCTCAAAAAAAAAAAAAAAAAGAGAGAGAGAGGTCAAGTAATTCTAAAGCTGTACAGCAGGAGTGCTAAGACATAATTTTGTGTCTACACTCATACAAGTCTTGAACCAAATAGCACAAAACCAATAGGTCATGGTGAACATTATCCCCAGAAAGCCTACCTCTGAGTAGCCACAGTTCTGGGGCTGATGGGCATTTACATGCTCAGCTAAATGACTGCAGATGCCTGCGGGGCTTTCATGAACATCCTCAGTTAGAACAGAAGGGATGCCCCAATTTGAATGGCCTCCACTTGCTCAGCCTCCCAGCCCCACAGCCAGTGCTTAGAATTAATCCAACCAGCTCCCCCATGCTTTGAGCCTCTTTCATACGACTCCAGACATGTGGCCATTCCCCTCCTATCTTTCCTCTCATCCCTCCCTCCCATGCTGGCTCCTGCATCCCTTGCTTCAGTCACTCTCCTGTCAAGTGCTTCAGCTCTTGGGCCTCCCCCAGGATCCCATTCTGAAAACTGCACCAAGCCAATGCAGCTGCCAACCTTCTACTCCCTCTACAATGTAGTCCCTGAGGTTTAGAGCCTCTGTCCCAGAGGGGCTCTCTTCCCAGTAACTGTCACACATGCCCCCTTTAGACTCCTCTTTGCCCCCTTTAGACTTCTCTCACCTCACACCCTCAGCCGGGACCCTGATTCCCACTCCACAGAAGAGGCAGAAGCGATCAGAGGACTCTCTGCATCTTCCTGGCCTCCCAGACTCTGCTCTTACCTCTTCCTTCCTAGCAGGGCCGTCTTCTCCCTGATGCTTTGAGGCCTCCTCTCTCCCCCACTCACACCAAAGCTTCGGGAGCTCTGCTGCTTGAACATCCTCTTCTTTTCCTCTGTCTTTAGTGGTCCCTTCTCAACCATAAGAAACATTTCCACAAGAGCAAAAACCCTTCCCCAAAGTCCTTGGCCCCTCCACCTGTCAGTCTTGCTCTCTGCCATACCTTCACAGTCAACTATAAAAAACAAACAAACACCAACTTTCTCTTTAAGTATAACACACATGGAAAAGTACCCAAATAAGCATAAAGCTCAATGGAGTTTTCTGAAGTGAACTTGGCTGTACAGCCAGCACCCAGATCAAGAACATCACCAGCATCCCAGGGTCTTCCTTATAACCCTTCCAGGGTGCCATTACCACAGAAGGTGCCCCCATTCTGATTTGTAAAACCACAGGGTAGTTTATCATGTTTTATAATTTTATATGAAAGAAATCATACAATCTTTTGTGCCTGGTTTCTTTTGCTCAACATTGTGGCATAATGGCACATGCCATTAAGCTTTTGAGCAAATAAGCATTTGAGTTGTTTCCAGATTTTGACTATTACAAACAGTGTTGCTATGACCATGATGGGGCATGCCTTTTGGTGGCACAACCAATCTTTCTGAAAGAAATGCGCACATGCTTGCACTGAATTGACATCTTCACTTCCCGTTCACTCCTCAGTCCACAGCAACCGGCCTCTCCTCCACCCCATGCCCCAGGACCAGCCTTTGTCAAGAGCAACAGCAGGTCATTTCCTGGTGACATCCTCCAGTTACAACTTAGCCACAGATGATGCTGACAGATCCTGTTCTCCTCTAGCCTATCCAGCCACTCCTACCTGGTCTCTTTTGGGAACTCCTGTCCCATCATCTCCCTCATGCTCATGCCCTCAGGCCCTGTCCCAGGCCCTCTCTTTTCCTCTCAACACTCCCTCAAAGCAGGGTGTTCTGTGCTGCCACCAGGTCTCCAGACATGCTCTTTCCTCTGCTGGGAATGCCCTTCCCTGGTTTCTCCGGTACTGATCCTTCAGGACTCTGCTGAGACTGACTTCCTCTGGGAATCCTTTCTGTCCTGCTGTACTGACCTCTCTGTGGCTGGGTACCCGATGCACCAGGCATGCAGACCTCAAGGCAGTGACCACGTCGTATTGTAACTGCCCGATGATATGAGCTGGGAGCTTATGGGTGCAGACCTATGTTTTCTCCATCCCTATGCCCTCAGCTCCTAACACTGGTTCTGATGCATAGTGGGTACTCACAAAAATGAGCTAAATCATGAATATAGATGAATTAGAGAAAGAGTGCTAAAAACACATAGACTGGAAGAGTGTGTTTTAAAAGATCACAGTATATTCTTCACTGGGAAGATAAGGTACATGAATTTACAAGGATAAAACATCCTATCATTCAAGGGGCCCAATTTCCCAAACTGGGCTCTGTTATACCCACATATTATCTTTTTTTCAGAGGTGGGAGTGAGTTCAGATTCCAGTCCAGCTAACAGTTATTTTGAAATGAACAGCAAACCACATGTCTACCCCTCAGCCATCACTAGGTACAGACAGACCACAAGCTCTCACCTCTTCCCAGGCCTTCTTGGCCTGAACAGTGGCTTCAAAGCCCTGACTTATTCTAGGGATCACCACAGATCTTTCCACCACATGCCAAGAAGGAAATCTTCCCGGAATGATTCCACCAGAATCATGGGCCAAATGTCAGGATCAGATCATATTTTCCATCTTTCCCCAAGAAAAGAACATGGCCCTTGATAAGGCTGGGAGCCAGGACATTCAGCTTACATTTAAGGAAAGCTGTATCTGGGCTGTGACGCTAGACACACAAGGCTGATGTGCCCGACAAGAGAATGAGTACAAGAGGCACAGCACAGGCTTAGCCTAAAGCCAAGGAAATCCTAGTGTACAGCCAGGTGCGGTGATATCAGGCCAGGGCTCTGCTCCCTCCCCCAGCTCTGCCCAGGCACCAGCCATAGCTTTGGAGTGGGAGGTCCGGGAAAGTAAATCACAGCCTGTGTTTCAAGCCCCATATATTCTGCTTCCATCACGCAGAGCTTGAGCCGGATGGCTCAGCTTTCTACAGTCTGGAAAGGCACTAGACATGATGTCTGCTCTCCCCAGCCAGGGAACAGAACACTTCTGTATCATGAATTCTTTTCCAGATCCAAGGGCAATGTCTGTGACCAAGCGACCTGTTAAAAGCCTGAAGGCACACTTTGAAGGCAGGTCTAAAGGTAAGGCCATAGCAGCGACCCACTCTCTAAAACCATGTCACCAAAAATTCACATGGTAAAACTCAAGACACAAACCCAATGTGTTTACTTATTTTCTGGCTGCTTTAGCACTACAACAGCAGGATTTAGTCGCTGCAATAAGGAGCATATGTGGCCTGAAAAAAAAAAAACAAACAAAAACCTCAAGACAAAAAGACATTGGAAAATGCTATTTAAAAAGCAACATAAACCTGAAGGTGCATTTTTGAATTCTTGGTTGGCTCTGGATGTCAGCTCCTGGAGAGGAAGGGCTGTGTTGTTACTTTTCTGACAGAGTTTAGTAGAGTGTAGTGGAAGTCCTTGAACCCATGTGAGTTAATGGTAAAAATCTATCTCTATTCAATAAAGCATGTTTATCACGATCCACTGACATGAATAATCTTGCTTGTAGGGTTGGTCACGGGTCTGCCAAATGTCTCAGAGGCTGCATCTGTGGAAGGCATGCAGAGCCCCAATTCACTGCCCACCGACAGTTGTCATCAAGATGGGCCAATCCTCAGTCTGGAAAAAGAAGGCTGGAGGCTTCCTACCCATTCAGGGCAAGGCAAGTGACATCCACATCATCAGATGAGATGAAAAGGCAGCACTGGGAAGGGCACTGGCCTTGGAATTACAAGAGCAGGGCATAAGTCCTGTTGCTTCCACTTGTTGGTGATGTCCCCTTGGAGCAGGCTTGGTGACAGTCCTGCTCACTTCACAGGCTGTGCTGAGGCCCCAGTAGTGCAGAGAGAGGGTGGACAGTGTGCTATAGAAATGCAGAGGTTTGTGCCTGTGTTGTCTTCTTGTGCATTCTGCCTCCTTTAGGAAGCCTTCTTTGATCCTTCCTGTCACTGCTGATATGTGTGCTCCTCTGTCAACTCTAAGCACAGAGGGTGTAATTTCTGCTTGTGTCCTCTGCCTGACAGCCTTGCTCACAGGATACCAGCTCCAGCCTGCAGAGCATCTGCATTGCCCTTTCACATACTGTCCCATCTCCCACTTGCCACCTTTGGCCATCCTCATGGCAGATGAGAAATTGGGGACACTGGTAGCAGAGAAGTTAAATGACTGGGTCATAGTCCCCCAGCAAGCAGTGGAGGTGGGACTCAAACCGAGGCTCTCAGATGCCAAACCTCACACTCTTTCCCCAGTCTCTGACACAAAGGCCAGGCAGGGGCAGAAAGCAAGGGAGTGAGAGCTGTTTCCCAAAGAGAAATGACCCCAGTGAGAAAGAAGCCTCCCTCAGCACATGATCCAGCTGCCCATGACTCTACTGACTCAATTCTGGGAGGTGCCCAGCCCTCACCCTGGACCTCCCAATTCACACTGTCCACCTGCACCTGGCCACTCCTATGCTGGGCATTGGGAGGTGCAAGAGGGACCCAATGTCTGGAGCCAGGCATCAGACAAGGCTCAGCCCATTTCAAACAGGGTATCAAAGACTCCAGCAGTCACTTGCTAGACCATCAGGGAAGGGTGCAGGTAGCCATGGCTGGGAATCTGCATGCCTCTGCTTACCTGTTGTGCCGCTTGTGAAACACACAATGGAGAGGTCATCAGGCTGCGGGGGCTGCAGGAGTGAGAAGAGGAGTGTGTTAGGGAGACCCAGTGTGGCCAGCCAGGGCCCTGAGATGCCTGGGTTCCCCCTCCAGCCAGGCCTCTGTGTTTGCTGTATGTGGGTATGGGCATGTATTGGGCATGCATGCATGCCCCTGTGTGCTGCGCTCAGAAAGGTGGGCAGGAGATCACTCAGGAAAAAGAAAAAGAAACTGAGGAAATCGAACTGGGGTGTGAACACTGTTCTGTCCCACTAACCTCACATCTGGTCCCACTGCCTCCCCCACTTAAGCCTGGGCTGAATTCTCCTAGATGGGATTGGGCTTCAGTGGCCACATCTCAGCCGCCACATCTCAGCCTCTATCAAAGCTCTGAACTTTCTAGGGGATGTGACTTAGTTCACTCCCTCCTTCCTTCTCATTTTCTCCCAAGTATCTAGGATTAGGCTTGGGAGCATATGTGGCTTGGGCACTGAGCTGCCCACTGTGTCACCAAGGCTGCTCTGTACCAGCCTTTGCCCTGCCACTGGGCACACAGTCTGGGGTCACCTGGAGGATCCCACCAAGTCTGCTTGCATGTAGAGGATGGCTTTCCAGAGGAGGTGGCAGTTGAGTTGGAAGGGCAAGCAGGATTTCTCCAGATGAAGTGATGGTGGGTGTTTTGGGGAGAAGAACCAGCCTGGGCACAGGCACAGAGGCACAAGAGACAAAGGGTGCTCAGGGATGGGAGAGTGGTTCTCTAAGGCTGAGGTCTGATGTGTGGGAGGTGGACAAACACCAGGGGCTACACATGCAGCACCCTGGGAAGTAGGGGATGACCTGCTCAGGCCTGTGTGAAGGGAGAGGGAAGGACTAAGCTGGAGGGAGGCCAGGAGATCAGATGCCTTTTAGAAAGTTGAAAACCCCCACATGGCCCATCCCGGGGTCAGTTGTCCTCACTGTGGCTCAACCCCAGAAAGTATCAAATGGGAATGATGCACAGAAAAGTTCACAAAGCAAAGATGAACAAAGATAGCAGATGCCACAGGCCATTTGCCCTGAGAGTCTATTTCTGGTTCTATTACTGCTTCTGTCTACCACATCTTCTGGAGAGTTCACCATATTCATAGGGAGAAAATAAGACTTCCCAAAGAAGTTACCTGAAGAATCAAGGGTAGCTAGGATTGGCAGCTCTTTTCTCTCCCTCCCAAATACGTGACTCCTGTTCCAGGTCCTTCCCTGGGCCTTCAGCCCACAGAAGTCCTGGACACCCAAGTGGGCATTTCCTGACTTGCACACAGGAATTGCTTATTAACACAGAGGTGCTGGTCTGTGCACAGTCAGGGACTCTAAGGACAAGCCCTGTACACCATCTCACTCAATAAAGACCTGCAGGTGGATTAGCTTACCACAGGAACATGGTGATTCTCTTGGCCACAGTCCTGAAAGAAGAAAATGCTGTTTTTTAAATGCTCAAAATTTCTCTCTCTCTCTCTCTTTTTCTCTCTCGCTCTCTCTGTCTTTCTCATACACACACACACAAACATACACACACACACACACACACACACACACACCAGAATAAAAAGCTCAGTAGGCCTCACTCCTGCACCCAGCCCAGAATTTAAGATACCAAAGAGGCCACTGAGGTGGTCATGGCAGACATGACCTCAGTGGCCTCTTCTCAGACAGATGTCTAGGCCTGAGGGTCCTGGGAGAGAGAGAGGGTGACTAGAGGTTCTAGGCCACCCCACATATTAAAGACAGGGAGCCTGAACCCCAGGGAGAGGCTAAGCATAGTGCACATGCCAACTGTACAATGGCACTCTGGGTGTGAGCATGCTGGGCTTAAGATGCCCTTGGCATGGCTGGGCACATGCTCAGGATGAAGCAGCTGATTGAACTAGGTTTCTGGATGAGCAGTCAGTGCAGGCGGGGCAGGCGGGGGCTGCCAGTGTAGGTCAGCTGCCAGTGCCAGGGAGGGGTACAATGCACAGACGTTACCAGTACAGTGGGGAGCATGCAGGGAGGCAGGAGGAGAAGGAGGGCCCAGGGCCTAGATCCAGTAGGGCATAGTGGGGGATCAGCTGCTACTGAGGCCTTGGCGGCCAGGATGTCCTGTGTCATCCCAGCAGACCACAAGCTGCCATCAACCTGATGTCTCTGGGGAGGCCGGGCACAGAAAAATCACTTCTTCTGGCTGCTGGGGGTTTAGATCAGGTTTACAAGAACCTCTCCCAGACTCCTGGACTTATGTCTGCAGTCCTCAGACAAAGACAGGCTGGGGCTAGCTAAAAATGAGGATGCTCTGGAGGCCATGTGAGTACCTCTGGGGTAAGCTGGCACCACAGTCCACCAGTCAGCACCTAGAATGAGGCCGGTTATCCAGCCACAGTGCCTATTTCCTAGAGGATGCCTGTGAGCACCAATCCCACCACCCACCACCAGCCCTTGCAAAGCATGCCCTATCTAGACACTGATACACCCTGAGGGCCCAAAACCACCACCCCAGGACATGAAAGGGACAGATAACCAGAAGTTCTGACTCAGTGACCAGCCAGCAGTGGCCCACCAAACAGCCCAGAAGCAGACCCTCACCTCCACAGCCTGCATGGACTTAATGACCACCCCGCACTTCTGCCCTCTCTCTTTCAGGGTTTCTTCGAATGGGTCCATGAGGATGATCAGCTTGAGGCCTGGAGTCTCCTTCCTCTCCACATGCTGTAGCAGAAGCACAGCCTTCTGAGGTTTGTCCACAATCACAGTGCTGATGTCCGCTGCAGAGGCCATCAAGGAGAGTCAGGCCATGTGGGCCCAGGCCATGACTGTAGGCAGCATGTGCCAGGCAGCAATTCCATGGGCTGCATGCCCACAGCTTGTGTGTAAATAAATATGTAAGACAGGCCTTGTGTACAGAGAAATGTGCCATGGGTCCGGGGCAGAACCAAGGACAGAAGGCCAGGGAACCTTCTCAAGCAGATTCCATGCTCCCCTTTGCTCCAGGCTCTGCCCCCATCATCCCAGGTCTTGAAATATTTACCACCCCCCTGCATCTTGTGCCAAGCTGTCATGAACTTCAGAGGTTGCACCCTGCGTGGAGGCTGCTGCAGAGGCTCCTTCTTGGCAGCTGAGCCCTGTGGCTCACCTTCAGGTAAGGTCTGACTGGGAACAGCTTGACTCAGGAAGCCAACTCAGGGGACACAGTGTAAGCCCCTAGTATTTTCTGAGAGCAAAGTACCTCTTACAAGTGTCAGACAATCAGCATAACCTGAGAAGCTGGAGGCTGGGGTCCAGCTGCCAGTGGCAGGATGGGGTGGCAGTAGTCTTACCTGTATTGATGATGTAGCAGATAGCCCCAGGGCCCAGGGTGTCATAGAGAGGGACCACCACCATGGAATATGTGTAGCAGGCCAGCTCCGCAATGATCCACTGTGGAGACACACAAGTTAATGGGTTGTGCCTGCTCACCCACAGCCTTCTGGACCAGGCCTGTCCCGGGGAGTTCTGTAACTTCTGGATTTCAAGTCCAAACTGCCCCAAGCACAGTTCCATGGCCTGTGGAATCCTTGCCACAGGCATAGGGCTTACAGCAGGAACCCTGGTCACCTGGGCCTAAGGGCAGAATAGCTCTCTAATCTCCCATTGGCCTAAGGGACAGCTGTTTGTAGAGCTGGGTGGGGGTGTAGATGGAACTTGGCTGGGGTGGTCAGTGCTGATGAGGGGCAGAACAGGGTTGGGAAGAGAGATGGTGGCATAGCCCAAGGGTCCCTGTTTTTTCTTTCATCCTGGGCCCTACAAACAGTGGAAGCAGGACTATTTCATGGTAGCCCACCCCTACCTCACTAATCCCTCTAAAATCAGTTAAGGCAGATGCTCACCTCTGGCCGATTTTGTGCAAAAACACCAATAAACTGATCTGTGCATGCTTTACAATTGTGCTGGAGAAGTCCGGACCCCAGAAATTCAGCCCTGTCGGCCACCTGCACACAGATGTGGGGAAGTGATAGGAAAGCAAGAACTCTTCAGCAGGGGAAGGAGATCCCCAGGAGGGATGTTTTATTTTATTTTTTCTTTGAGACAGTCTTGCTCTGTTGCCCAGGCTGGAGTGTAGTGGTGTGATCTCTGCTCACTGCAACCTCCACCTCCCGGGTTCAAGCAATTTTCCTGTCTCAGCCTCCTGAGTAGCTTGGATTACAGGTGCATGCTGCCACACCTGGATACTTTTTTTGTATTTTGGTAGAGATGGGGGGTTTCACCATATTGCCCAAGCTGGTCTCGAACTCTTGAGCTAAGGCAATCCACCTACCTTGGCCTCCCAAAGTGCTGGGATTACAGGCATGAGCCACCACACCCAGCTGGGATTCTTACAGGTCTGAGGGTCCTCCCTGACTCCCAATCCAGCATGCTGGAAGTGCTTCAAGGCTGTTGCCAGGAGTTTGGCAGACAGGCCAGGAAAGTAAAAAATGACCCTCTGAGACCTAGCAGGTGCCCACATCCCTCCCTACCCTCCCTGAGTGCCAGATCTAGCACGGTGGGGTCTGTCCTCTATCACTCACCTCCTGGTAGGACAGCCACTGGTAAGGCTGCTTGGGCTTCCTGAAACCAAGACAGGGCCCATTCCCTGCAGAAAGATAAGAAAGCCTTGTGCCAGGGAGGGGTCAAGGTGGGTGTGCCACCTGCATCCACCCATCAGGAACCTGGATGGACATCCCATATAGTAGTGTGTCCATGGGCCAAGTGAACTGCCCTCCTGCACTGCCAGCTACCTGCCTAATCTGCTGAAGCCCAGGAGGGCTTAAAGCACACAAGTGTGGCATCACCTCAGGGATCAGGGAGGTCTGGAAATGGGGAAGGATGCAGTGCCCAGTCCCCACCATAACTTGTGTGGTGATCCTTATTGCAGACCCAAAGGATACAGACACCTGAGGGCCGCTGGGAGGAGGTGGTAGGCTGCCTCTCTTTGCCTCTTACCCTGAGAGCACCCAGACATCTCAGAGGTTCAGGTCTGAAACCATGCCAGCCAGTGGCCTGGCAGTTCAAGACTCACCAAGAGCACAGAGCATGGGCCAAAAGATGGCCTAATGTCAAGCTGCCCCAAGGGCTGGAACAAAGCTGAGGTCAGACCTTTGGCCATATAATGCAGCTGCTTCTCTGACTGCTGGGAGGAAGGCCAGGACTAGCTTCTCTCCACTGAACCCGGGGACAGCTCAGCTGCCATGTCCCTGGTATCATGTTTGCATAACCACCCTTGAACCCACTCAACCCCTGCCACACAGCCCCTCCACATCCCCATATCCCTTCTTACCTGAGATGCTAAGCCCACGGCGGAACACCTGGTACATGGTCCGGGCATCGTCGTAGTAGTGGGTAAGTAGCTGAGAGCCAGACCCAATCACAGATCGCCTTGCCCCGCCACTGTCCTACAAGCCAAGCATGGGCCAGAGAAGTTGGCTGAGGCAGTAGGGGAGCCAGGAGAGGGCCCCAGCATGCAAAGGCTATACACAGCTCGCATGTGCGACCCGTGCCCACAGTTAGCACTGTGGCATGTTCTGTGTGCCCTCATACACATGGACTACACACACCTGGACTGTACACATTCAACCTGCATGTAGCCACACTTCAACATAGTTGGCTCATGCATGTAGGCTGGGTATACCAGTGTCCCCACATACAAACCACACACATACACACACACACACACACACATACACACACACACAGTATTCACACACCAGGTTAGCATATACAGAATGTCCCAGGTTTTCAGTTACTGTTCATACACACCCATGGCTCACTCATACAGCACTGTGAGGATTATGGGCTAGATTCAGGCCATCCCCTGGCATTAGGAACAACCTGCAAAGGTATCCCCTATCCCATCATCTGCTGCTATGCCCCTGGGTTAAGGATCATTTGGGTGTGGTGTTAGCTAAGAAGGCTACCACCCATCATTCATGTAATAATGTGAGTTAGAGGACTGCTGAAGGTTCTGCTCCAGGCACAGAGGCCTAGGAGGTTAGGGAGGGAGGACACATTGAATTATGTCCATGTGCAATGGGGGAGGAGAGGCAGGCAGGAAATTCCTGGGCCCAAAGTGGTACAGGTGCAGAGTAGGAAGGTGGCAGACCACCTCTGTGCTGGTGAGTAGGGCAAGGAGCCAGGCTTCTCCTGCCCCTCTCCCCTTCCACCCTGCCACCCTTGCCCATAGTGCCCAAACCCAAACTCTCCAGTATCATAGCTCCACCTTCTTCGAGCATTATTTGAGCTGGGTTGGCCCAGAGCCTGCCACCTCTTGGAACATCAGGTCTAAGGAAATAATGTCTGTGAGAACCAGAAAGCAAACAGTCAAACTCAAAACCACAGGTAGCTCTCAACTGTTTTGGAGTTGAAAGCTCTGCTTGGCCAATGCTTTTGAGCACCAAGCCTACCGAAGCCCTGCAAGGGAAGCTGGGACACATCTAATCAGACCCAGTTGGCACCTAGGCAACAGATATGGTACAAGGAGAGACTGTCCCTGTCTGTCAGGGACAGAAGAGGTTCAACAACTGGGCATGTGTGTTACCAAGCAGCTGCCAAGTTAGGATTCGAAGGATGCATGGGGGTCGCCAGGCAGAGTGAGAAGGTGGGAACAGCAACCTGGGCATAGGCAGCAGCACATGCAACTGCCCTGGCAGGAGGCACACGTGTGTCTGGGGAACTATAGGCAGTTCATGGAGCTCCAGATGGCAGTGGTGCGGGAGGAGGCCAGAGAGGCTGCAGATCAAGGCAAAGAATCTGGACTTGAGGCTGAGGGTAATGGGGACCCAGGAGAGGGTTTTAGGTTGGGGGAGTGACATGGTCTGAATTGTTTCTCACCACACAGTATGCGCAGTCAATGCTGCCAGGTCCTGTCTGATCTGGGCCCCTCTTACCTCTCCCACCTCATTTCCTACCACTGTCTCCTTTGCCTACTCCACTGCAGCCACTCTGGCTTTCTGTGCTCCTGGGGGATAAGGCAAGGGAGGGCGCAGTCATTCCAGAAAGGGAGGGGTTAGCTTCATTTCATGTCCCTGTCTTCTAGACCAGCAATGTGACTCATTCAGTGGCCCCTACACATGAGCCAGGGTCATCCCTCTCACCATTCAGAGATCATCCAGACCACTGTCACCTCCAACTCAGATACCTGCAGCTTCCTTCTTATGCTTGCCCCCTAATACCCACCCTTCTACAGCATAAACTGGCCATGTCTCTCCCTACTGAAAAGTCCCAAATAGCTCCACACTGTTCCCCCTGCAGGTCCCTGCACAGTTCACAGGGCTCTGTCCTTGCTGACCTCTCCAGATGCATTATAATCACAAGCTTAACCCAAAACAACTGTCCTTAGTGACTTATCTGGGTAATGGCACCACATCTTAGAAAGAAGGTGCTCTTTTATTACCCACTTTACAACTGGGGGCACTGAGACTCAGAGAGTTAAGAAACTGCCTGGGACCATACAATACAGAGGCACAGCCAGGCTTCAAATCCAGGACTGCCAGTCACCAAAGGCCATTTTCAGCAGCACTTGGCCAGCCCCTCTCCACTGTCCAGCTCCCCACACAAAGCCCCTAGGTGCTGCAGCACACACTTTCACCTTTGTACAGACAATTCTGCTGGAAAAATGCCCTGAAGATCCCAGCTCCTGCCTCCCCTATGGGGCTGTTTTGCTTATGATCGCCAAGGTGTGCTGTCAAGAGCAAACAGCAAGATGCACAACAGCGTATGTGGCAGGCATGAGTTAAAGGTGGGGAGTGTCTCTACACATCTGCTCATGGCCAAGACAGAGCATTAGCAGGTTGCCTCAGGGGAAGAGAACAGGGAGAGCAGGGAAGAAGACAGAAGCTCTTCAGCACATTCCTTTTGTTTCCTTTGGACTATGTGAATACATTATCTATTCCAAATGAATAGAATTAAAGAGAAAGCAAGGTTTTAAAAGGCAAAAATAAATTCCATAAGCTTAATAATGAAACACACCTCACCAGTCCCTTGTCCACTAAACACCCTTGTCCACTAAACTCTGTATCATCTTCCCCTTGGTGGCACCATGTGTGAATCCACGTGCTCAGGGAGAGCAGTGCCAGGGAGTGGGCTGAATTCTGGGTCCCAACCCCAGACCAGGGAGAGTTTGGGAGGAAATCTACCAAGTGGCTCCTCGAGAACCTGCTTGGGTTTCCTACTGCAACACCAATGCGCCAAGGCCCTTCTACCCTGGGAAGCAGGCAAACCAGAGGCCCAGTGCAAGGCCCAGGTCAGGCTCTGCCCAGAGGTGGTTCCTGGGAGAGGCAGAAGGAGTGCCTGATAGGAGACCCTGCCCAAGACTTCGGCAGAGCTAGGTGGCTGACTGCCAGGGGAGACAGAGCTTCTCTGGGCCATGTAAGGTCAAAGAAGCCACAAGTCTGGCTTCTACTTCGAAGATACCTGTGCTCTGCCCCTACTTTCCACAGCAGAATGGCTCCTACCCTGCTTACCTCTACTTCTTCTGACTGCATCAGGAGGTTGCATGGTGGCTGCAAAGCCTTTGGCCGGTGAGTGAACCAGTAAGCGAGGATGGCGGCCAGGGCACCCATACTCACAAGGGTGGTGGCCGAGAGGCTGCGGAAAAACTGGCCCAAGTCGCCTAGCTCAGGCAGCCGCAGTATCCTCAGGATCTCCTGTGTCTGCATCTTCTCCAGAAGTGAGAGGACAAACTCTGTTGAAAACAAGAGGCAGATGAGGCAAGAGACATGAAGGGCAGGTTAGGGAGGGGTCCTGGGTCACAGGACTTTATATCTAGCTACCTAGAAGGGCTTTTCCCAGGAAGAGGCAAGAACCGTCTGTGGTCACACCTGACAGTCAGACATCCTGCCCAGTTTTTAAACCACATTGTCAGGCCCTGGGCCATGGCTGACAGCTCCTTCCATATTTTCCAGGGCCACTGCTCTGGTAGCTCTGGGAATGACGCCTCCTGGACCTCAGGGCCTGGGTGCTCTGTTCTCCTGTGTGACTGCTATCATAGCATTTTACTTATCTCTGCTCCTGGGGTGTGGAGAAGAGGGGAGGGCAGCAGAAGTGCTCAGCATAGTGCTCAGGGGTGGAGGAATGCAGGCTTCTCCACCTCTATCTCTAATCTCCCAACCCCAGGCCCTGACCCTGAGGGAGAGAGAAGGAGGGCAGGGCAGAGCCCTGACAGATACTCCAGCCCTCATGATATGAAGGTGAAGACCTATCTGACTGTATGAGCACTATGGCTCTGCACTGTCCCTGACCGAGTACCACGAGGACAGCTGGCCCCACCATAACTTCCTGATCCCATGAGCAAGTGTTCAGAAGCAAGGCAGGTGGCAGAGGAGAGCAGGTGTTAAACTGGTAGGAAGAGAAAGAAACCACGGCTCAGAGAGAAATGACTCAGTCGAGTCCTATGTGCACTCCCAAGGAGACCAATACCTCCTGCCACGTCACAGATGGCAGCCACCCTCACCCACTACAGCCCAAGTGAGTACAGTGGGCCCATCAGGGAGACATGGGAGATGCCCTGGGTAGACAGAGGGAAGGTCTCAAGCTCCAGGGGCCTCCTGCATTCCCCTCCTGGCCACTAAGTGAGGAAGTGTTGGCAGAGCAAATACACAGCCAGCTTGGCTCAGGGGTCTGCATCTTGGCCGAAACTGAGGAAAGTATCAAGGGTGGGCCAGGCGATGGGTACTGGTATCGAAACTGGGACCCCCTCATGTGTCACTTCCTAGTGGGACCTCACGCTAGAGGTACCTACAGGTCTGCCATCCCAGTGATGGCAGGGTGGGCTCGAGGCTGCCCTGCACCACCCACAGGCACCCTCCTCACAGGCCCTTGGCCTCTGGAAGCATGGCTGTGCTTCCAAGAAGGGAAACAAGGAGAATGTAATAGCGACTACTCTGCAGCCATGGGATATGAGCCAAACAATTGCTTGACCCCTGAGGGAGGAGAGATCTGCTGAAATCCCAATAAATGGCATTTCTGCCAAACCATAACATCACAGACACCAGAGATGAAGTCAGTGATGTGCAAAGTCATTGATGAGACAGAGAAAAAACTCCTCGGTTACAATCCCTTCTTCACTACGAGCCATGTGAAGTTAAGCCTATCCTTCCTCTCCGAATCCCCACTTCCCCATCTTTAAAATGAGGGCAGTGCAATTCACACATATAAAGCCCCTTGCACTGCATCTGGCATACTCAGAAGACTAAAGAGGTGGCTAAGGAATGTGCTTGCCAGACCAAGAAGGCTGCTCAGACAAGGACACACAAAAAGGGGTCAGGGGCAAGCCTGGTCCAAGCACCGGGCAGAGGCAATTGGGCCTGGGCACTGTGGTCTCACAGAACAAGTTTATGCTCTGCAGATGGCATAGCAGGCTGAGTCCTGGAACACTCATCAGCCACCCACAGGATCTGGGTGAGCCTCCAGCTAAGTGCAGCATTCTCACTGAGCTCCTGAGCTGGAAATCCAGTTTTAGCAGCAGCTTCCTTGAGCTGGGTCAGTTATGAGGCCATCATGGAGGAACAACCCACTCCTAGCATATTTATCCAATTCATCTTCTGCATAATAAAGGAGAGGCCAAGCTATGGACCACAGTGGATTCACCAGGGAAAATCACTCTGGAGAGGACTCAGGGTAGGTGACCAGCTGGCCTCCTTGGGACATTTACTTCCCTAAGCTGGATGGGAAGATAAAATCACAACCAGGCCTATCAGATAAATGACTCACTACTTAGTAGAAAATCCAGACATGCTCACCAGCTCTTAGGGTAGGCTCTGAGCTGATTGATTTTTTTTTTAAAGGAGCTGAACTGACTTGATCTGAGAAGCCAAGGACCAAGAAACTCATGCCTAGCATGAGGGCTCAGCTATATACCCCAAAAGTTGTAAAGGGAACCCTGGAAGGATACCTCATTACCACCAGTCCCTGGTCCTTGGCAGTTGCTCACAGACTCTAAGCTTTGCATATTGTAGCATTCAGTGTAAAGCTAGAGTTTTTATAGAGCACATCCCAGATTAGCCAAGTCATCATCTGTCCTTCCGCCCATCTGGCAGACCCTCACACAGTCCCTGTTGTCATCTAGCTCAGAGTTGGGCCTGTCCGCCCCATGGGGAGGACACATGAGGAAATGGACAGTGCTGTGATCAGACATGGGGAGCCAGAAAAGCTGTCTGACTCAAGTACAAGGGAGTCAGGGCAGGCTTCTGGCAGGAAGTGATATTGATGCTGATAATGAAAGATAAAGACAAAAGGGTGGCCCGGCAGAGGAAAGCAAATATACAAAGGCTGGAGTTGAATGAGCACATGGGACACTTAGGGAACAGAATATTCTGTGCAGAAAATAAAGCACTGAGCCCACAAAATCTTGTACAAACATCAGTGCTACAAGTCTGTGAGACTGGCCTCTTGGACATGTTGAGCTTTCAGTAGTCACCATATTATCATGGTCCTCAGTGGGAGGAAAAGGGGAACTTGGCCTAAACTTCCCGAATTCCTGATGCCTGGGGAGCCCTTTCTTACACACTGCACTGTTTGACCCTCACAACAGCTACAGGCACTCCCTCTCAGGTGGAAGCATAGCGACTCCACTGGAGAAGCCACCTTGTTCAGTAAGGAAGGCACGCAGTAAACAAATAGAGCCTGGACTCAAGTCTCCATGCCAGCCCCTCGTGTGGTATGGCCACCCCAGCCCCTGCCAACACTGGACCCACTCCCACAATCCATCCTTTCCTTTGCATTGGTGCTGAACCCACAGACAACCAGCTCCCACTGCTTGGAAGAGCACAGGCCCAGATTCAGGGGGTGGGGGAAGTGCAGGACCACCAGAGCCTGTATGAGGGGACCAGCCAGTCGGGCCAGTCATTTGCTATTGTTCACCATGCACATGAGTGGACTTCCTCCTGGCCTCACATTAAGAACTACCATTTCTCCTGGCTGAGTCCTTCTCCTCCTACTTGGGGTGATGGAGGGCAGTGCATAAAGGGCTTGGCTGCCCACTCCTCTTCATAACTTCTACTTAGGTGCCCACCCCAAAGGAGGTTATTGCAGCAGTGGCAGCTCCTCTGGCTTTGAGGCTGGGCCTGTACCCCTCCTTGATGGGGAACAACCAAAGGGTCTCATTCTTTCAGGCTCACAGACCTTCTCAGACAGTCAGCACTGCTTGCATTTAGCCTGAGGTTCCCTTCAGACCTGGGAGCCACTGCAGGGCAGAGCTATGAGTCCAGGTCCCCTGAGGACATGAGCCTCAGAGCCAGCCCAAGCCACCAAGACTTTGGCATGGGGAGGGCACAGCCTAGGCCTTAGAGTCTGGTCTCATCTCATTATTTCACAGGGCCTTGGCCTCCTCTGACCTCCACACCTCTCTGTTGACCTGGGGTAGGGCTTCGTAGTCTCTAGGGTCCCAGCCATGACTGCCTCCTTCCATACCCCTCTAGGCTCTCTCTAGGCTGCAGCAGAGGTGTGTGTGTGTGTGTGTGTGTGTGTGTGTGTGTGTGTGTGTGTGTGTTAGACGCAAGGGGAGTGTGGATAGCACTCAAGGGAATCAGTGGTGCTGGTGTTGCCTGGTGAGTGGCTGTGTTTGTAAATATTCATCTGACAGGAGGACCTGGCTATCTAAAAAGATAGCCGCCTCCCCTTTTCCTGGCATATCTGACATCTTTTTCTCCAGCACAGACCAGTTCAGATACCAAACAGTAGCTTAGGCTGAGGGAACTAGAACTTCCTCCCACCTCGGCATGCCCTCTGCTGATTTAGGGCAATCCAGCATGGGAGAGAACGGGAGGAAAGGGGCCCTGGTGGGAAATATGTTGGCTTCAAGGTGGTGGGATGGCAGAGACAAAGCTCCAGAGCACAGTCGCTGTGGAAATGGCCCTGGGGCCCCCAGTATGGCTCCATGAACCCTCTGCTGGTCCAGCCTCCTAACCTCAACACTCTAGGCTTTACCGTCTAGCTGGATACCCGACCAATCCTCTCTACCCCAACAGCCCCTGGCCTGACAGCCACTACCAAGCACAAGCCCAGACTCCCATACCACCCTCTTCATATCTCTTCTTGCTCTAACAGGTGCTTGCACTGTTACCAGAGTTATTTCCTGATATGTAGATATGACCATGTCATGCCTTATCTGCTCAAAAACCTTATCTGGCTCCCTACTGTCTTAGGACCAAAGTCCAAAGTAATGCTCACACTGAGGTTCTCTATGATCCTCAGATTCTTCCCTCCTCCTGAGAATCACCCCAGCTTCCTCTATATCAGCCTCTCTGACAGCGTTCATATGACGGAGTTCTGGGCCTCTGCAAACCTCTGAGGTCTTCAAGAAGAGTGGGAAAGCTCAAGCCCAGCCACCAAATCATCAAAAAATCTCCTCAACTCCCAGTGAAGAGCTCTAAAAAGAAAACTACAACCTCTCCCAGGGCCCAGGGATCCTAGCAAACGGGCTTGGGAGAGGGCCCAAAGGAGGTATTCAGGTGCTGAACTGACCTGGGTCCAAATCTTGACTGTCTCTTGATAGCTGTGTGGCCTTCGGCAGGTCACTTTGCCTCTCTGGGCCTCATCTCAAACAAGCTCATGGACAGAGAGTGCAGTGCCAGGCATGTAGTAAGGGAAACACTTAGGAGACAGTAAGTAGCTGAAGCAGTTACTCCATCTCTTTGCAAGTCAAAGAGGCTCAAAGACAACTTGCACAAGTAGATGCATTCACAC